AAGGAGGCTACGGCTGCGGGACCTGGCTGAGAGGGTGATTGATGCTCAGGAGAACGAGCAGGAACTCAACAAACTGCTCAACGAGGCACTGCTGGAGAGAGAGACAGTCCAGGCGTGAGTTGAACATGGCTCGTTCGGATCGCAGATGTTTTAGTGCAAGCACAGCGAAACAATTTCATTTTTGTAGCAACAGATGTAACTGCACATGCAATGTTGCTACTGTAAAAAGAAAAGGTAGATGAAATATGATGAAATGCCAGAATATGACATGTGATGTAAGTGTCTGTGTCGCTGTTGTATTATTAGTTTGAAGGGAAAACACACAAACCGCCTCTCGCTGAGGTTTGTGGATCCAGACCTGGAGACTCGTTACTCTGTGGAGAAAGAGAAGCAGAGCGGCGCTGCCTTCTGCTGCTCCTGTGTCGTTCTGCTCTTCACCGCAGTCATGGAGGTGCTCATAGACCCCTGGTTAGTTGATAAAAACCATCAGCACCCTTTGATCCCTTAATCCCAATTCAGTTATAATTCGAATTATTCCTGCAGTTTCAGAAGTGTGTGTTCATGTGTTGTGGAACAGGCTGATTGCAAATTACATCACCTTTGCGGTGGGAGAAGTCCTGCTGCTCATCCTGACAATCTGCTCTCTGGCTGCCATCTTCCCCCGGGTGAGTTTCAACACATCATAATTATTACCCTCATATAGTGTTTGCTCATGTTCGCTGTCAATTTCACTCCCCGCTGCTGTCACTCAGGGCAACAAATCCATGTAATTAAAGACAAGAAAAACTCTTGTATTGACCCAGTGATGTCATATGGGGTAGAAGTAGAGCTGAGATTATGAAATGCTCACAGTGGAGTTGAACTGTCAGCTTTGTTCTGAAATGGTGAAATTGTTTGAGTCTTGATCATTTTACACTCAATGAACTCGTCTCTTTTTCCAGGTCTTTCCCAAAAAGTTGGTGTCGTTCTCCTCTTGGATCGATCACACACGCTGGGCTCGTAACACCTGGGCCATGGCAGCGATCTTCATCCTCACCATGGCCGACATCATGGACATGGTGAGCTGCTCCTTAACAGTGAGGTTACGATAACTGCTGCTTAGACAGATGGACTGATGGGAGCAAAGCCTGCCTATAGATTTGTTTTACAAAAACAAAATGCTTTATGCTTTTTGATATTCTCTAGATTTTAGATGAGCATTTAATGTAGTCATTTGGTGGGATGGATTGATGGATGGATGGATGAATGGATGGATGAAGATTAAATAATGGATGTACGTTGTGTCTTAATCTTTTCTCCAGTTGAGTTGTTTGCCTCGGGTTTCTGACCCGGGCGGTGCTACAGCGACTCCATCCTCCACCTCCTCGTCCTCCACCTGGTCTGTCCCTAATGGCTGCATGGACAACCCCAAATATTACAGCTACATAGCTGTGCTGGCTCTTATGGCAACCACTATGCTGGTCCAGGTCAGTCACATGGTCAAGCTCACACTGATGCTTCTCATCACTGCGGCCACCGGCCTGGTAAACATCTACAGCTGGCGAGACATCTTTGACCGCTACGACATGGCCCGTTTTCAGGACTACAGGTGAGGTCCAACGTAGCCAGTGTTTGTATGTGGGAGTGAATGGTTTAGTTTTGAGGCTGGAACGACTGATATGGTTTTACTCTTTTCTTCAGGTCATACCTTGTCCCCTCAAAGTTCACTATGACCATTATGATCTTCATAATGATGGTCAGCTTCTATTATTTTTCCCGACATGTAAGTTCAGTTTCACTGTGTTCCATGTACTGACATGTAAACCATTATTAGAAAAACTCTGTCTTTGTTGTTTATCACACGACAGACATGTTAACAAGAAGACATTTTAAGTTATAATAATGTTGTGTTTGCTTCTCTGTGGTGATGGAAAAAGGGTTCAGTGAATTGTGCTGTTGTACTGGGTGTGAACACGTCTACATGCATATGTTTACATTTCATCCACATCCTGTCACGGTCTGTGTATTTAGGTGGAGAAACTCGCCCGCACGTTGTTCCTGTGGAAGATTGAAGTCCATGAGCAAAAAGAGAAAGTTTACGAGATGAGACGCTGGAATGAAGCCCTGGTGACCAACATGCTGCCTGAACATGTGGCTCGCCACTTCCTGGGCTCGAAGAAAAGGGATGAGGTGAGCTCTTCGTTTCTAAGGCATTCACTTTGATTGGCTCGGTTTGTTTCTCCAGCTCTCTGACCACCATGTTGATGTGACCTGTTCCAGGAGTTGTACAGTCAGTCCTATGATGAGATTGGAGTCATGTTCGCCTCCATCCCCAACTTCTCTGACTTCTACACAGAAGAGAGCATTAATAATGGAGGGATCGAATGTTTACGCTTCCTTAATGAGATCATCTCTGACTTTGACAGTGTAAGCTATGTTTGATAATAATATTGCATTTAAAATACATTATTGACTCTGAGAAAAGGCAATGGATTTTGTCTTTTCATGAAAGCCGCTCTGTAACTTCATAACCTACATAAAACCATGTTCCTGTCTCCATTCCAGCTGCTTGATGAACCACAGTTTCGCTGTATAACAAAAATAAAGACCATTGGCAGCACCTACATGGCAGCGTCAGGCGTCACCCCAGATGTCAGTAATGGCTATGCGTGCATGAAGGTTAGTTTTTCTGTAAAGTTAATGAAGAAAATGTCAGTGTTTGTTAAAGATATTAATGATAGTCTTTCAGTAAGGAGGTCTTTTTAAATTAGCCCTAAATTGGACTGTCCTTAAACAGGCTTCTATTGGACAGTTGTTGCTGTCACTCACACATGGTGTCCACTTTCACATGTATGTGCACTGGCTGACATTGTTGGTGTTTTTGGTCTGACAGAAAGAAGAGCAGTCTGACAGAGAGCGCTGGCAGCACCTAGCAGACCTGGCAGACTTTGCTCTGGCCATGAAGGTCACACTCATGAATATAAATTACCAGTCGTTCAACAACTTCATGCTACGCATTGGTACGCTCCTCCATAGATTGTGTTCAAAATAGAGAACCAATGATCTTGTTGTTAATTCATCTCTAGGCATATATAGAGTGTAATAGATGGACTTGATATTTACGTTACAATTTTTAATACTGCAGGACTCAACAAAGGTGGAGTGTTAGCAGGAGTAATCGGGGCACGTAAACCTCACTACGATATATGGGGCAACACTGTGAACGTGGCCAGTCGCATGGAGTCCACAGGGGTGATGGGTAACATCCAGGTATTTCATCCTCACGTTTGATCCCGCCCATCAAGAAAACTTGTTTGTGCTGACGTTTGTTTACCATGTCTGTTTGTTGCCCTCAGGTGGTGGAGGACTGCTATAACATCCTAAAGGACTATGGCTTCCGCTTTGTAAGGAGGGGCCCCATTTTTGTTAAGGGAAAAGGAGAGTTGCTGACTTATTTTTTGAAGGGAAGAGACAAACAAGGCTCCTTTATCAACGGCTCCTCCGTCACTCTGCCACACCAGGTGGTGGACAGCTAAAGACAACACACACATTCAACTAAACTTTTGTGTGTGGACCACAGAGGAGTAGGACGTGGAGGAGCTGATCTGAACTGAAGTGGACTTCAGCATTTCAGTACAACTGACGCCACATCTACAACACTCATTGCTGGACACGGATGTGGAAACATGTGCCAGAAAAGATTGTATTTCAATATCACATTGAAAATATGTACAATTTTGACTATTTAAATAAGAACGACAGGAAGAACGATTCAACATGAGACAAAAGCACTAGATATATGACACTGAATGACTATATATTGAGCATTAAATTGTATCAGGGTCAGGCTCAGGTGTCTATTGAAGCAAGGCCATGTGAAGTTGCCCAAAAACTAAACAACGAAAAACTCACTTCCCTCAATTCATGATGGTAAAAGTCCAGCAACATTTTTAAAATGTAAATACAGACTGATAAATCTCTTCAATTAAGCTTAAAACATGGGACACTTGGATGTTTATGGATCCTGGACAGACCTCTGGCCTTTTCTCATTTGAATGATGAGCCCAAAGTACATGATACGTTTTGGTGTTTCACCACTGCCACAATTTAATCACCGACCAATGCAATTTGATTGTTTTTCAAAGTATTTATTTTACCTTGACGCATCAAGGTGCAGCACAGTCAGACTATATCACAACCCATTAAGTGATCTTTTGATGTAAGATGTGTCTGTCGAGAGCACACAGTCTGATGTCAAGTGTGCATGAAATTAGAGCTGTCCCCTTGTGATCAGATCCCTCAGGTCACATGTAGACGTCAAAGTTGAACAGGAACTCGGACACATTCATTTTCAACAACAGACATTAGTTTATCCGACATTTAAGATTTTTTTTCATAGTGTTTATTTTATTTTTCTCTATTTTCAATTGATATTGAATTTTAGCTGGAAAATGTCTGACCATAGATGCTTCCAAAGACTTACACATAAAAAAGACTTTTTTTCTTTTTTTCTTTTTTTAGGTGGTTTGCTGTGTCCAAGCCTATTTCCCAGCATTCTTTTCCCATTCATGAAAAACCTACATACAGGAAAAGCTAATCCAAGTTCAGTTGTCTGTCTGTTTTTGTCAAAGAAAATTTTAAAGTAGACCAATGAGAGGCCAAAGTGTGATGATTTGTTGGGATACATTTCTTGTACACCTGAGATACTAAATATCTCCATTCCTTTTGGCTCAGTGTAGGCTGGCTTGTTTTTGTTTTTTCAAATTTCAACACATCTAAAACAGACATGGGCACAATAATTAATAATTAATTCATGAGTGTGTGTTAATCTGTGGCTCAGATAATGTAATTCAGAGGGAGCCTTGTCTTGAATATTGCTTCCCATCAAATCACTTTGAAACCTCTACCTAAGGTGGCTACAGGAAAGAAATGATTTCTATTTCAAGTTAGTATTTTAGATGTACAGATTTGACGTGTCTGGTGAGGCACCGCCAACTGACATGGGGCAGGTGTCACCTGTGTTAGCTTTTGGAATAAAGAATGGAGTGAGCTGTTGCTCTTTCTTGTCCAGACTTTATTGATAGTGCAATAGTTTCTTCTACAAACACAGGTCCTCGCTTGCCCTCTCTTAGGAAAACTGTCAATCATTATTTCCCCTTTAACTCATATTTTTATATTCTAATGTTTTCTTCAATCTAAAAGGGAACGGAGACTTAATGTGTCCTTACTGTACATAGAGTTTAAACATAGTTTATTGGTTAGTTTATTTATTGAAAAGGACAGAGATATTGTTTTTGTTTTTTTTTACCCTGATGTGAAAGTGCCAATGAAGTAGGAGTTTACTTTTGGTTTAAAAGCCACAACTTAAACCATAGCTGTTTTCTTTATTCTTATTTTAAGAGAATCTCAGGCTTGGGAACAAAAAGCACTTTGAATAATTTTTCAACACTTCTTCAATTCTGTTTTTTTTTTTTTTTTAACTAAATTTTAGAGCATATTACTAACCTGACAACAAAGAGATGCCCATTGGGGATCCTACACCAGCTAGAGGCAACAATTGGCAACATGATTTGAAGCTATGGTTCTTATTGATGCTAATATTATATTTGCATTTTTAACCATTTTCATTGCGCCTTCCAGTTGCGTGGACTAATTTAGACATCCAGTAAGTCTACTTAGCCTGTTCTGATCAGCTGATCCCAGTTCTGTTTTTAGTGGAAGAGTCTCGGTGTGTCATCTTTCATTTTATTACATTTGTCAGCATAAGGTGAGTTGATTAAAGAAATCTTAAAAAGTAAAGTGTAAGTGTCATTATTACAACACAATGTATGAAAAATGAATTGATTAATTGCACGGAAGAAAGCGAAAGTTTGTCTCCTAAAATGTCTGATTTTAATTATCTGTTTATTTATCGGTTTATGTCTGCCTCGGCACATCAGAAACATCCTTCATTTGGCATTCAAAGGTATTGGTTCAGCACTTCCATAAATGTCCAATAAACATGTCTGTCACACACATAAACACTAACAATAATGATAATATATATATATTTATATATATATATACATATATACAAATAAATATATGCTATTGTTTGTCTGCAATAAAAACAAAATGCATTGTCTTTAGTAGTTTTATTTCTGCCACTCCTAGCCACAGGTGTATGACATTAGTCCTAATTGCCAGCTCAACTGGATGAGTGGCTCAGATAGAAAGGTAAGTGACGTTTGGATTTTTGTTCTCTACTGTTGCTGTTTTGACTCACTGTATTATTTTATTATTATTTAGCTAAATAACTTAGATTTCTCTTAGAAAACAAAAGTTTAAAATTAACAGAAATTATTTCTGTGCACAGAGACCAGGGTGAAATTGTCCAGCATCTACACAATTTAGTGAAGGCTAATTTTTTACTCATTTTTTTAATTATTTTTTTTCTTTAGCATAGAAGGACTCTCTGGGTCGAGGGCCAACTGCATGGCTGGACTTCCTTTCATTTTTAACATAGATTAAATATAACATGATTGCATCTCAAAGTTCTGAAGTGCTTGTTTAATCCACTGACCAATTGCACAACTCAAAACAAAATCTAATTATATTAGTTTACAAAATATACATTGAAGTTTAAGGATGGTATTCATATAAGATAATACTTATCTAAAGTAAATATCTAAATAGATGAAAGAATAAAGACAAGCTCGGGAAATTAAGGTTTTAGGCTTTGAACATCAAAGTATCAAAGTAGAAAGAAGAGCTGTGTTTGTGTAGAAGGTTGTTGTAGCTTACATTTCATTGATACTGCAACGGTTTTTATTAATAAAGGTTGAATCAAAAATATATACTTTTTATAATAAAATAATACCATGTTTATGGTTATCTGAAGAGTATATTGAAAGTTACTGAGACGTTGAAATGTATTAAAATTAGATCATTGGACAGTTTTAATAGTTAAGTGTTCGCCATCTAGCGGTGACGCAGCGTACGAGGCGACGTGAAGGAATTTCCGCCTACGTCACTGCGTTTGTCTTGTCCATAACAAGGCTGCGCTGCAGCTGTCTGCGAGCAACAATAACAAGCTGTACTCGACAACTTCACCGCGGCAACATAACGACCTGACAGTGCCGTATTAACATGACTGTCACCAGAATGACGACGTCCATGTAAATCTGGCCACCGTCCCTTCGATCTCTAAGCCCCCAAACCGGGTTTTCGTCGCCGCGACACAAAACTCGGAGACTCGGCCCCAGGGGCTACAGGGCAGTTCGGCGCTGCATCTGGGTCAGTGGGCCTATCCGCGGCCGAACGGCTGGTTTTGTTTTCCCTTCTTTTGTAGTGTCACGCTGTCCTTGTCCTCCCGTAGCCCCGCCGCGTTAACCCCACATTCACCGCGTCAACATGCAGGCTAACGGAGACTCGGAAGTGTCCTGCCGAAACGGAGCCCAGAATGGCGAGTCGTCTTCGGCCGGCGAAGCTCACTCGAACGGATTGGTGTCAGTGGGCGACAATGGTAACAGTGTCAACAATAACAGCAACGGTGTGTCAGAGCAGCCTGCGGTCAACAACAGCAACGGCGACAACAGCAACGACAACAACAGCCCGACGGACGTGAATAAAAAGAAAAAGCGTCTGTCTCAGTGCGAAGAAGACGTGATCAGGCTGATAGGACAACATCTACACGACCTGGGTCTCAAGTAAGTCTGAAGAAGAGGAACTGTCAGGATGGCACTGTGTGACCAAAACAAACCGGTTCTGCCACTACATGACTCAGTGTTTAAATGTCCACTGTGTTACACTGAGGAGAAAATGGTCCAATGGCAGAAACAGTACTAGTACTGACGGATAAAAGATTGTACAGTTGACTGGAAGAATTATGTTGTTTACATGACCTCAGAATTAGATCTTTTAATAACATCATGAGTGGGGCTTCTCTATAGACGCCGCCATGTTGGATCACCATATTTCGAACACAAACCGTATATTGTTGGGTTTTTTAAATGACATAACCACCAAATTAGAACATCTTGGGGATAGCTGTTCTGAAATAAACCGTTTATTTACACAAGCTATTTTCACGCTCCAAAAACGACACGAAAAAAAAACATGCGCTTTTAATGCTTAGTTTTAGGTACGTGATTTCTATTTTAAACGTTTGAGGAAAAAAGATGACAAAACATGGTGGGCTGATAAAAGTAGGCAGCATGTGTGAATGACAGCTGAACCAATTAAAAGAAGCAGGGTAACTAAACAGCACAGTCTCCTAATTGCAGAAGGTTGTTTACGTTGTGACGTCTGTTGTTACCACTGATGTGAAAGTATTGACCATGTGTTGCAACGTGACCAGGCCTCGAGACACTATCCTCATATTACCTTTACCAGTTCAGTTTTAATGTGTATGCACGTCTATATATGATGGTATATATTGCATAAATTAATAGTTGTCATTACACTAGTTCTGTGCCTTTTATGTGCTACTGTTGATCAAACTTATTGTTAAATCAGCAGTAAAAAATAATGTATATCTTTTACAGATGCCAAAATATTCACTATATTCATCACAGTTCTTTGAATTGTTTTTTAAAAATCCCCCGACAGTTATATTTAATCATCTGTGACAGCCTTTTCAACAACAACAAACAGGAAGTTAGTTAAAGCATGACATCACTGACAGCAGCTTTAAGATGATGTATCCCAGGTCATGTTAATTGATTTTCCTCTCTGCTCTGCTGTGGATGTTGTGTGCAGTCAGACGGTGGACCTCCTGATGCAGGAGTCTGGCTGCAGGCTGGATCATCCCTCCGCCACCAAGTTTCGCAAGCATGTCATGGAAGGGGAGTGGGATAAGGTGGGGTCGCGTTATCTGAAGTGTACATCAGTGTTATTAGAAGTTTATTGGGTTACATTACAGGGTTTTGTTTTTTTTTCTACCTTTTTAACATTCATTTTTCTTTTTATTTAGGCTGAGAGTAATCTGAATGAGTTGAAGGCAGTGATGCTTTCTCCAAATGTCATAGTGGTAAGTGTAAAAAACACTGGTCGTCCTTTGTGATTTTAACTGTGTTGTCACATGGACAAGTGGTGCTCTGTTGTTGCCTGCAGACATGTTGACTACAACTGTCCTCCTTCTTGTCCTCTCTTTGTCTTATTCTGCAGCGGATGAAGTTTTTGTTGCTGCAGCAGAAGTATCTGGAGTATCTTGAAGATGGAAAAGTCCTTGAGGCTTTGCAAGTGCTGAGAGCTGAGCTCACACCTCTCAAGTACAACACAGAACGCATCCACGTCCTGAGCGGGTCAGTTCACCAGGCCATATCTAGAATGGGGACACTATGTCAATTTTTTACTTGCAAAGATTGTGTTTGAAGCAGTGGATCAAGTATATAAATGTTTACATGGTATAATAATAATACGACCTAAGGAGTAAAAGCCATCTGCAGACATACAGTAATCCTAGTCCGAGTGAATCTCAAAGTTTTTCACTAAAATGTCTTGTGACTTATGTCTTGTCATGTCTGGGAATGTGTTGTTGTGTGTTTTTAAGGTACTTGATGTGCAGTCACGCAGAAGACCTACGAGCAAAAGCCGAGTGGGAAGGGAAAGGCACGTCATCCCGCACAAAGCTGCTGGACAAGCTCCAAAGTGAGTGCCCTGATTCTACAGAACATCTTCTCTAAAGACATTCCCACTTTTACTGAAGAACTAAAAATAAACACAGCCACAGTCAACTACATGGAGCTTCAGTCATCATTTAATTCAAACTGATTTTTTTTGCCAAGAGTTCTCCCCCAGTTGTACATCCATGTTTTCTTTGAAGAATACGTTTACAGCAGTGTCCACTGGAGACACAGCGAGAGTCTTTGTTTTCCATTTTCTTATAACATATGCCAGAGTCAAGTTCCAACAACTAACAGCATGAAATTGTAAAATTAGTCCTCATGATGTTACATTTTTTCTATATTTATACCAAAGTTAATTTTCTGTTTTATTAATTTTTTTTTTCTTTTTACTCACTTTTGGAATTCCTTACTAAAGCATGACTATTATAAATTCTAAAAGGAACACCTTAGATGTGTAACAGCTCTATAAAATAATTATTTTGGCACTTAAATATTACTTAGTACATGAACTTCAATAACGCAGTACAGACGTTGGAAATCCAAACATACTAAATTCATTGTGTGCATCCGTGCAGCCTACCTGCCCCCCTCAGTGATGCTGCCCCCACGCCGCCTGCAGACTCTGCTGAAGCAAGCGGTGGAGCTGCAGCGAGAGCGCTGCCTCTATCACAACACTAAGCTGGACATCGGGTTAGACTCTGTGTCCCTGCTCTTGGACCACAGCTGCAGCAGGTAGGAGCCACAAAATGTTGTGAACTCAACTGAGGAGAATTTTAATATTTTCTAAAAAAAACAGTAGCTAGTGTAGTAAGACTGTAGAATAACATTAAATACCTAATAAATGTTTTAATTTTTTTAGGAAACAGTTCCCCTGCTACACAAAGCAGATTCTCACTGAACACTGCAATGAAGTATGGTTCTGCAAATTCTCCCATGATGGCACAAAACTGGCAACTGGGTCCAAAGATACCACCGTCATTGTGTGGCACGTTGATATGGTACTCACTTTAATCATATTTTCCATTAAAAAGACAAAAACCTTCTCCTGAGTTCAGTGAATAAATGGATTGTTAATGTTTTGGTCAACAGGAGACCCAACAGCTGAAGCTGCTGAAAACTCTGGAGGGTCACGCTTATGGTGTTTCATACTTGGCATGGAGTCCAGATGATACTTACCTAATAGCATGTGGCCCTGATGATTGCTCTGAGCTGTGGCTGTGGAATGTACAGGTAGGACTGTACTCACACGCAGGGTTACAGATTGAATTTTAAATCCCAGAGCATGTTTAACAATTAGAGGTATGTTTTAAAAATGTTATCTATGCTTCAATAAGACTCCATTTCCTGGTCTATTACATGCCAGCCAATCTGAGACTGCCATAAAAAACAGATATGAGTTTTAACTGAGAGACAGCCCAAATGTTGTTTAAATTAGTTTAAAGACATTTCAAAGTCAATCAAATCTCATCCATTTTAGCCAGAAATCACAAAATGGCTTAAAGTTTGTCACGAATGCTGAACCATAGTGTAATATTAGGCCAAATGCCAACCAAACATTAGCAGATAAATTATTAACTGTTAGCAAATAAAATGTTTGTTCACCCAAAGGCAAACTTAAAATGTTTGTACCTGGTGTTTCATGCTTTGCTTGACTCTGCTGTGCAGACGTGGGAGTTACGGACAAAGATGAGTCAGTCTCATGAAGACAGCCTGACCAGCGTGGCTTGGAATCCAGATGGTAAACGCTTTGTCACAGGAGGTCAGAGAGGCCAGTTTTACCAGTGTGTGAGTATCACTCACAGCACAACACACTGTTTCTGTGCCCACTGACTTTGTGAATCACAAACACCAACTGTGTCAATGCCAATGTCTATTCCTGGTTCTCGGATACAGATATTGGAACGATATGAACATAATTAAGTGTGTATTTCAATGCCAAGTTAGTGTATTTGTCATTGATAGACTCTTGAATGAATATATGAATATATATGACCATGAACAGTAACACTGTGAGATCTTCATTAGAGGTCTTCCATGTTTTGTATTTTTCTTGCTGATTCTCAGGACTTGGATGGAAATCTGCTGGACTCGTGGGAAGGAGTCCGGGTGCAGTGCCTGTGGTGTTTGAGTGACGGCAGGACCGTGCTCGCATCTGACACCCACCAACGTATCCGTGGATACAACTTTGAGGACCTGACGGACAGAAACATGTAAATGAACCAACACATTGACCTGCTTTCCATATGGAGGCTGTACAAAATATGAAACATTTCGAAACAAGTAAAACAGTATTTTAGGAGACAATTTTGCTCCTTAAAAAAGTAAAGTCATGTCATTGTGATGATTCAGCAGTATTTGTGCCAAATGTTGACGTGTTGGATGTTGTGTGTTGCATCATCCCAGTGTGCAGGAGGACCATCCCATCATGTCTTTTACCGTTTCCAAAAATGGAAGGTCAGCCCTCCTCAATGTGGCTACACAGGTGAGCAGCTTGTTTCTACCATAGCTTTACTCAGTGTTTTTAATTTAATTGTAACACTTTCAAATGTTCAAATGTGTCTGCTAAATACAATTCTGTGTCGGTAAATCCTGTTCTTTTGTTAGGGTGTACACCTATGGGACCTGCAGGACCGGGTGCTGGTGAGGAAGTACCAAGGAGTCACCCAGGGCTTCTACACCATCCACTCCTGCCTTGGAGGGCACAATGAAGACTTTATTGCCAGTGGAAGTGAAGGCAAGACTTTAACAACTTTATAAAAAAATGAAATAGGGTTGAAATATTGCTTATACAGAGAGAACTCTGGACATCTCACTGAGTCAGCATCTCAGTTTGGCAGTAGGCTCAGCTCACTTTACATGATTTTCTGCAGGTTCGGTGCATATTTGGGCCAAACACTGCAGTCAAAATCACTGTGAATGGGCTTTTAGAAATGTGATTAGTGGATTAGAGACTGATTTGGTTCTGTGTCAAGAGATGAGGACGGGCTCAAGATGAATGAGAAAAACCTGAAGCAGATTCGACATCGGTCCATTAGACAGACAGAGGAATGAAGTGGTGAATTTCAGAATTTCAGATATAGTTTAGTGTGAACTTTGTATGTACAGAAGAGAGAGAGAGAAATTTTAACATGTCAAGAAAGTCCTTATAGTGCTGCTGGTGACGATGATGATGATGATAGGTGATGATAATGTCGCCCTTTATTCTTTGTCAGATCACAAAGTTTACATCTGGCACAGACGCAGTGAGCTACCCATCGCAGAGCTCACAGGTCACACACGCACAGTGAATTGTGTGAGTTGGAACCCCGTCTTGCCCGGGCTTCTGGCCAGCGCATCAGACGACGGAACCATCCGGATCTGGGGTCCGGCCCCCTTCCTTGATGTCCAGGATTCCGAGGGGCTCAGTGGTATGAACGATACAAAGCTGTAGCTTGTGTGTCTTTGATCCCACGGAGTCAGGGCACCTTATCAGCTGTCATGAAGCGGTGACCTTTGACTTCTTTCTGTCCTCTCAGAATGTTGCAGCATGGACAGCTGATAATCTGCCGCTGCCGCCGCCACTGCTGCTGCTGCTGCTGTTGTTGCTGCTGCTGCACTGAACCTGATGAACACTAAGACTCTGTAGACACTTGAATGGATGAAGCAGTCAGGGAGGATAAGGTGAGATGAAAACTTTAGGGTTTGGACATTTCCCTCCTGGAGAAGGTTGGTCTGCCAGTGTTCTGTCAGGATGTCAAATCACAGAGATGTCAGACTCTAGCACATTCCTGAGAGCTGTACTGGCCTCATGAAGCCAGACGGCAGCATCCTCAGAGTCTGGACCCAAGTCCTCTGCTTCATCTTTTTTGGACCCATTTTGCTCCTGCACATCGAGGACCAGCCACCTCCTCTTATTTATTATCAGATGATCATATTATTTATTCATAGTTAGTAGTTCACTGACCAGTGCTGAGCTGTGACGTAGCAGCAGCACCTGGTGGAGGCTTTGTGTGTCTGTTTGTGGGTGTGTAAGTGCGACAGGATGCGCTTTTCTAAGTCTTTGTTGAAGTTTCACCTCCAATAACTTTGTTGAGATTTTACACCAAGGCAGTGTTGTAGTCCAGTCCTTCTACTTCATGTCACTTGATTGAACCCTGAGTGATGGGGTCCAAATCCTTCTCAGTCACCTGGGCTGAAGTTCTACGTCCACAACTGAGTCATCATGGAAAAGGTTCTTAAGTCCAAGTGACAGAAAAACTGTTTAGGTTCAGGTCTGCTACAGTATCAAGGATAGGGATTCACATGGGGTACTGACCCTAAATCAACGAAGAAAAGGTTTAGGTTGTTTCCAAGTCTGGTGAGTCAACGTGATGGAAAACAGCTGCAGTTGAATTGACATTTGAGTCAAATCTTGAAAAAAAAAATCAGTTAATGTTTTCAGGATTTTGAGTCCAAGTAACTGATGAAAAGAACAAGTTAGGTGTGAGTGACGTCCCCAGGGTTCCTCGAATCCGAGTCACAATATAAATGTTTTTAAGCTGAGTCAGCGGCGACTCCATAGTGTTTGAGAGAGAAGTTTTTGAAATTCACTTGAATCTCAGGCCTGGGCTGCAGCACTGCCCACGTTCATTCAGCATTCACCCGCTGCATCAACCACTTGAAGAGGAGGATTTTTAAAAAGCTTTGTGTTTTGTTTTTTTGTTGTTGAAGAAAAACTTGCAAAAGGTATTTTTTATTCCCTAACTTTGGCTTTTCTGCTTTTAGCCAGTCAGACAGAAATCTGTATATGAGCGTGTGATGAGGAACATGCTGTTTTCACTTGCAGTACATTCTGCTCTGTCACAGATCATGGAGAGGGTTCTGCCTCCTGAGATTACGCAGCAGCTGGTGTGTTGAAACCATGACACATCAACCCTTTACCTCTGATATATATTACTTTATATGAGTCTGGTCTCTTTCATGCTGTCACGTCTGGACTTTCTCTGTAGAAACTTTTGGAATTTTCTTGATATATTTGAGTTTCCACCTTACCTTCCTGACAAACAGTAGTTCTTTACACCTGCTTAACTTACAACAATGGTTTGATAGTTATGTTTCCATTAGGATTCCATTATGTATCTGTGTTTAATTTTTTATTTACTCATTTAAATAGACACCCACTGATATTCTTTATTTTATTACTTCCAGTCGAACTTTGATCCTCTTTCCACAGTTTTAAGAGATAAGGCCGGTGTTTTTCTCTGTCTTATGTTGTTGAAGTCAAAACTCTAGGATTCCAGTTCAAGTCCCAGTCAGCGGAGAGAAGTTTAGGTTGAGTCGAGACCCTTGTGTTTCATGTTCAAGTCTGCATCGTAATTGGTGCTCAACCCAGGTCATCTGTGTAAACCAAAAATACTGGTGGTGTCTGAGCCGATGGTAGAACTGTCCAAAAACATGCACAGTTATCTTAATAAGACCCAATACTGAGCATAGGTATAAGTGTGAATGTACTTGGTTGTTTGTCTCAATGTGTGGCCCTACTATAGACTAACCAACTGCCCGGAGTGTACGTCACCTGGCACATAACTGCTGAGATTGGACGGGTGAATGAAAGGATCTGAGCCAAAACATTAGTTTCTAAACTGGTGCTTACTTAAACATAAATCAAACATTAGGAGTCAAGGGTCTATTTGAAGACGTCTGTGTTGATATGAGCCTCTATCACAATGTACTTATGTAATAGATGTGGAATATTCATTCGTCGTTGATTGGACACCTGCTTTTCTCTCATTTTCACTTTGTATCCGCCCTGGGACTCATTTCAGGGTCACTATACACCATTAGAGAATCCTTTTTTTTTTCCCCAGACAACACCCAAAAAACATAGTGTTTGCAGTGACACTAAAGCAGCGAACCTTGAGAAAAGCACCAGCCTTATGTCTTGTTTTCAGCATCGGACACAAGGCACACACCGGGTGGGCCGCAGCGACACGATGATCCTCATCATATATGCTATATACGTATATATATATATATATATATATATAACAATCAGTGTGCTAAGCATTTGTAAAAACAAGTGTAAGATAAAGATAATATGAACTTCTACCAAGTGTTTCCTTTCAAAAGAACAAACTTGCCTGAAACAATGTTGGATGTGATCTGTGCTGTATAGATGTTTGTTAAGGCATGTATTATGAGGCTGTGTATAATGGCAAACAGGAAGACATGTTTTTTCTTTAGTTTGTTTGTGCCTCAGGGTTCCCACATAAGAGTTTTACAAGCAAAAAGTTCCATCTTCCCTTCGTTGTCAGTTTTTTACAGCACACATGGCCTGATTAGTGTAATAGAAAGAAGTGTGCTGACAGGATATTTAGCTGTTTGCCTGCGAGAGTTAAGAAAACTAAAAATTTGAAGGCAACTTGGTAGAATTTCATGGCATGTGAGCCTAACAAGGAGAAGAAATGTGCTCTTTTTTAGGTCATGGTGCTTTTGTAAGTCAAGTAAAACATTACAGTTGAAACGATGAAAACACGTTCTACTTGTTCAGTTAAAGATACAGCCCAGTTATGAAACCAATATCTAGGAAAAAATCTTTTTGTTTTGTGCTTTTCTTACAGGCTCAAAACACCATTACAAGTGCTATGCAACATGAACCAGGTCATTAGTGAGACGCCACTTCACATGTCCAACTTGTTGTGGAAAATGTATAATCTATTTTGGGTCTTTTTTTAAACTTTGTAATTAAGATGTGAAATCAGGCACTAAAATATCATCTCTGTACCAATATGCAACGCTCACAGACTCTTCAGTGTCTGTTACTTAAGGGCTTAATACAAGTCCATAGCATTTGAATAGCAAACCAAACAGGAAAGTGGCAGTGAAGTCCAGAGTTAATTGTCTGAAAACAACCACTTACAAAGTTGTAATTTACAGGAATATATTACAAAACGGAGTATTGTTATACAGTGTATAAGATATACAGTCAAATCTAGTTGTCAATTGTTCATTTTATTTGCTGTTTGACATTTTTCTATAATTAGCTTTGAACTCGCAGGGGAGAAACAGAAAGTACATTTACAACTAAACGGTTTTATACTTGCATGTCTGTCAGTTCTTTGACATAAACAAAACCCCTTGGTAAAATATATTCATATGTACAAATATATAAAACAAAACAATATTTACCACAGGTACACATTGTGTAATTTAATCATTTTTGTAAAGCAAATTAAACATATAACAAAATACCAGCAAATCAAAACAAGGAAAGGTCTAAGCTCATAAAATGAAAAGTTTCAAGTTGTCTTGAAATTCACAGTTTTGTCAACTTTTCACTGTTACTGTTGTTCTGATGATAGTGACAGTACTTTTGCTGAGAATTGTGGGAACCCTGTTTCAACTGCCCATGCACCGACTTCAGCTTTGCCCTCGCACAGCACACACTACAACTGATGTCACAAACACGCAGACCTGAGTCCACCATCACAGTTGTAGTGTTTCCAACTTCTACAGCCTTCTAGAGTTCGTTTGTTTTCCAAAATGTGGGGCACGGCTCCTTTTCTCTTCCTGCTGGATGAAGCCAGAACAGGAACATTTTTGGTTTGTTTGCTTGCAGGCAGTTTCTGCCCAGAACCACTTTTGCATTTTAAATGTGTTACTACAACAAGTGATTGTACTGTTGTGTATTGTTCAGTAGGAGACATGATATGTATCCATATTTTAAATAAAGCATTTCAGGGTTTTAACGTGTGTCTGATGTTGAAGTGTGCTTTACTAGTTTGACTAAGCAGCAATCTTTTATTTCACTTTATTTTACTGAGCAGAACAAGCAAAAGAGTTCATTTTTTTGTAAGTTCTTGACAATATACATTATTGAAAAGAGCTTTTCTGTGGGCTTAACACTTGAATGATGAGGTTGGTCAGACACTCAAATTAGATAAAAATAAAAATCACATTTAGTCATAAATGGTGGGTGATTAATGATTTGAATGTCAGTTCTTTTCATTTTGGAATCCAGGCACGGGCTTGGATTTGACAGTTCAGTGGGTCAGCTTTGGGCCGCGGGCCGCCAGTTTATAATCACTGATCTGGAATCTTGGTAGAATCTTTTGTATCCTAAGTTCCCAGTGCAAGTGAGAGTTATGGAATTGATGAAACTATAAGCTGTGGTTAAATGTGTTTGGTGACTTGGTTGGTTAATAAGTTCAAATGATTACAACTCTTCATCATGGTGGGACAAGACAATTAACTTTCAGGGAAATCTGCTCAGTTTCTTCAGGAAGTAACCATGCATCAGTTTGACCACACACTGGAGGTGGACCTTAGAGCAGGGAGATCACTGATTGGCTGCTGCAATCTTGGTGCTTTCTCTTTTTCTGTGTCTGGGTTTCCTAGTACAAACAGGACCCTTGAGGTCCTGCTGTCCAGTCACACTACAACTTTATTTATATGTTTTTTTCCCCTCACTTTCCTGCCCCAGACCCACTTCTGATTTAGGACCTCACCCCTCAGTGAAGCCAAATAAAGACATCAACTTTCAGTTTCTTCAACCTTTATTTATCAAACTTTTTTTTCCTCTCAAAAAGACACGACTTTATTCATTATCAGTTTTCCATTATCCCTGCACACGAGACTCGTACTGCAGCCTTTGGTAAGACACAGCAGCTACATGAAGGTCATGGAAGGTCAGCCATGTCTGTGTCAGTGATCCATGAAAACACTACTGTCAGTAACACTGGTGCCTACAGACAGACTCTGTCTACAGTTTTAACACAGTTTTGATGACGGAGACAAAGCCCTCCTGTCTAAAGTACCCTTTGAGAGGCAAGTGTCGAATCTAACTTCTTCAACCTTTAATCTATACTTACTTTCCACTATTGATATGACTCAAATTTCTGTTTCAGTGTCTTTGTTAATGTGCATGTGACAGTTGAGCCACTGATTCAATGAGATTTCTCCACAAAAATAAAGACTGGCTGTGTTTGTTCTGAATGACAAATGTAAACCTGTGTAACCACGTGCAGGAGCATCACCTTTTCACTGCTCAGGAAGAAAACTGACCTGACTTGTCTGACTTTATCGTACTGCTACTGCACTGTCATCTTCACGAGTCTTTGTTTCCTAAACTGTATGCATCTTTTATATATTTTAGGTATAAACCATTATGACCCAATTCGCAATTATATAACAGGATTATCCTGAACAAAATGATTGACATAAGCCAATTAAGTAAAAAAAAACTGCCTCTTCAACCCTAATAAAGAAAGCCAATATTATCTTTTTGCAATGAATAGTAAAATTAAGAATAGAACATTCTTAATTCTAATAATTTCTTTCATATTCACACTTATCTAAAACCATCTTAAGTAAATCAACTGTTGCCAATATATTCCAAATTAAAAATCCTAGGTAAAACTTAAAAACTATCTAAATCAACAAAATTGGTGACAAAAGAAAAACAACTCCCTGCATTCATATGTATGACCAGACCCAGTCACTGGAGGTTGAACATCGTATTAAAAAAACAAACAAAACCAAAGCAGTAGCTACATACAGACTGAGTACAGGTGGGCTGTGTTTATCTGAGTTGTGGAACTTGTTTTTTGAAACATCTGGTTATCACTGTGTGGAAACCCATCACTCTGTAGCACAGCTGCATCAGAAGATGGGATATTGTTATTAAATACGTCAGGGACAAAAAGGTATAGAGCCGTCACAAGTACTGTGGTAGTTGTCTTTAAACTCTGTGTACAGGAAGGAGACATACATGTGATACTGTGTTGGGAGATTTAAGGCAATGCTGGCTTTTTATGCCCAAAACTTTCTTCAAGAGTTTTTTTTTAAGCAGCTCCTGTTCATGCAGATAAAAGTGAACTCTGTGATTATCAGATCAGTTCACTGACTGCTGACTCACTGCACTGTGAACACAGCAGTTTAACTTTACATGTCTAGGCAACACCTTAATACCATGTGAAATGTAAAACACTGGGAATGTGACAGATCAAACACAGAACAGAGGACCCAGGGCAAAGAGTTAATTTGTTGTCCTGGCTCTTGACGAAAAGTTGACGAGCACAGTGCAGAAACAGAAGAACTTGAAGAAAAGAGAGGGAGATGGAGAAAAAACCTGGTGGTTTGAATTTGATTGATGGTGTGGGGCGCTTCAGTCGTTGATCAGAGCCAAGATCATGCTGCAAGAACAAGGAGGGAAGGAGAAGTCTTAACACATGCTGGTACTTTACATGGAAAATGCTGATCTTTGAGAAATCCTCAGTGGAAAGGTTTGGGCTAAACAGTGTTTGAGGACAACGTTATGGAATTATAAAACTTTTTTTGGCCCCAAATATCGGTATCTTCTTTGTCTAATTATTAATTTATATTTACAGCCTGCTTTTAGCTAGTCTGCTGTTCTCTACATTGTTGGGGTCTAACCTTTTATCAGTGGTTGACTACTGTAATGTTTATACATTGGCCTAAATGTGAGTTCAATATGACAACTATATTATCACTTTGCATCTGTACATGTTAAAATGAATTTTGTTGCTCATTTCAATCGCGTCGACTTTAACTATAAACGTGTCCTAAAGTACATTAGACAGCGCTGCACTTACTTGTACAAATAAATGAAGAAGCAAAGCAGATGGTAACCCAGTTTAATCATTGCCTCCTTCATGTGGGACTTGAGCTGACCTCGGTTGTGGATCTCAGTCGGGTCAAATACACCCATGTTTCCCATCGGAACTTTCAGGTACCTGCAGGGATACAGTAGAAAAAGTACTTTAAAGTCAGGAATACCTGGGCATCTTAGAGTCAAACCCAGTGTCTGGTAGAAACGCACCTGTAAATGTCCCAGGCTGCTACAGGCAGGTTGAGGAGGAAGACAAACCAGTGCATAGAGACTAACATCAGCACAGTGGAGAGACACTGACCAATCATCTCTGGAATCACCCACTGGACATCAGACATAACAAAGAGAAAAACGAATTGACAACCAGAAGTAAAACTCTAGTTTTTTCTTACTCAACAGGACAGGCACCAACAACAGAGTTAGAATAGTTGTGATGAAGAGACATTATTGTGAGAGTGCGTTGACTTACTTTGTTCAGCTTGGAGCAGCAGGCTCTGGCATTGATGTAGTCACATTCTAGATCAGATAAGGTGATAATCTGGAGTTTTAGTCAAGGACTGAATTCTGTTACCAATATTTCAACACATCAGTACTGCACACAAACAGACTTAATATGACTCTGTTCTGCTTATACAAGTATATTAAAGACGTGTGTTTACATGTCTAATAGTAGCTAGGTTTTTATTGAAGCTTTCTGTTCCCCAAGTTATTCTATTAAATCTGACGTGTTATTTGTTTTTGTGAATCTGACATATTTCTATAAAACATCTAATATGTAGTGTGGTATTTGCCACTTCACAGGCTAAACTTGTTGTGTTTAAGAATCAATTTATAAGACAACCTGCTAAGGTTTCAACTGATTGTATACATAACCAGAGTGACTTTAAAATAACAACGTATTTGCCAATGTATTTGCCTTCATAAATAGTCCACATTTCCTACATTCCCTGGAAATTAGCTACCGGTTAACTGAAATCAACGACAGATTAGTGGATTGTGAAGACCATAGTAAACTGGTACCCTGTAAATGCAAAAGTGAAGAGATAGTGAGTCTGGAATAAAGATCTAGCCTGGGTTAACGTTTCACCGCCCTTACAACCGCCACTCACCGGCTCGACATTACTGTTCACACCGGCCTCACCTACACCTAGAGCCCGCGCCCTGGAAAAAAACGACCTTCTGTCTTCGCGGCGGATATTCCACTCAACAACAGATGCAAGTTGTTATTTATTTTAAAGGATACAAAGTAAACGGAAAGAAAAATCAATGCACAGCAGTCCACAAGTGACAGGATAAACACTGCCGCCTCCATTTTCTTCTTCCGTCAGTGACTCACTGTGACTTCCGTTCAGCGCTTTGCGGAAGCTTAGTGTAATCAGCTAAGTGCTGCCACCTTGCGGATGAAGACACAAACAGAACAAGTACTCACGAGAAAATGGACAACCGTCAAATTGAATTTGCTTACTTTAGTTTTTACAAAAATGGAGAGAAACAGATATAAAATGTGTGTTAGTCTCCGTTATCTTCAATTTATTCACACTCCTTCTTATAGAAGCCTTCAAAGGATTAAAGATGCATTTTTTTGGTTTACAAGAGTTCATAGAATTCCCAAATCAGTCTTCACTGTCGTCCACCAAGGCAGGAACAGCCAGTCCAGGCATCACCAGGACCGGATGGATAATTTAATCAGTTTCACTTCAGTTAGTTTGGTTCATGGTGTGCATTTGAGGAACATCATAACGGTCAGAATCCTCAGTTATGTGGTTAGAAATAACCTACATTTCCCTTTTTAAGTCCACAACATATACATTTAAATAAAATAGAACAAGAACAAGTTTTTCTCAAAAACATTTATAATTAATGTATAATCGATATTTTATACAAATATGTTTGTTAAGGTTTAAATACAGGCGTTAACTCAGTCAAGGTCTGAACATTTTGCAATATTTCCAGTGCTGCTCTGTCAACATGTTAAAAATTGTAGATGACATCATATAATGCAATAAAACCTGAGAGATGTCTAACTCTGGGAAAGCAATCAGCCTTTAATTATACTCCAACATTTACACAATATTTTTTTAACATTTTCATATTTTGGTCTAAATGGAAAAAACATAATGTTGTAAAACGAGTTTTATGATTTTGTTTTTCTTCCTGTACAATACATTTAGGAAAATGTTAAATATCACCTCTCTTTTACTGTCTAAGTTGTAAACCAACCATCCAGTTTTCAGCACTCATAAATGCAACAATACATTTAAAAAAAACACTTGTTGCTTTGTGGTTTACAGTGCTTACAGGCAAAACATTTTTGTGATGACAGCTGTCCCTGAGTCACCTGCTGACAATTCTAGAGTAGTGGGCAGGGCTGCAGGGGATAATGTGAGCACAGTGAATTTCCAATGAGGAAGCGCAAGACGTTTGCTTTTTGTTTTGTTTTGTTTTTTGTTTTTTTCTTTTTGCCCTGGGAGGATGCTTAAAAGAGAGAGTATCAGTCTGTGAGAGGAGAAACAGGAGTGAGGCCAGGAGAGAAGAGTGACGGCAGAGCCAGCGGATCAGACCCAGATGACAGGGATATGGCAGGGTTTATCTTTTTTTATTTCACAGTTTTTTCTATTATCTTGAATGTAGGACGTGCAACTGAAGAGCATGCTCAGATAATGGAAGCCACCAGCCCTGGAGATTTAATTATCAGTGGAATCTTCAACATTCATGAAGGTGTAGATAAAAGTAGGGACACTTTTGAACCCAAACCACTGGAGTGCATCAGGTGAGACCATCTAGTCAAATGCAAATACATAATACTGAGACGAATGGGCTTTCTGAACAGCCTTAGTTTTAACTGCTTGTCTTGTTTTTAACTGTGTTTATCGCCAACATCAACATCATTAATCTTTAGGAGGAAATCCTGTGATCCTGTATGAAAAATAATGCTTTTGTTGCTGTTTGTCTTTTATTACATGACAAAAAAAATCTCCTTAAAAGAAAAAAATACATAATAATGTCTGTCATTTTATGTTTAAGGATTGTTCAAAGTCACAGTAAATGAACTATTTCATAATGTTATGAGAAACAATGGCTGTGATCCCTAACTGTGCTTCATAAACACTAGAATGTTATAGCATTAGTTTTTGTTAGTTTGTCGTTAGTTTTTTTTTAATATAAAAAGTGTCATTTTCCTCAGGCGCTCTTAGACATGGATTTTTATTTACAAAATAGAAGCAATTCAATACAGTGCAAAAGAAGAAAATGTGAAATTATATATATATATATTTATAAATATTTACATTATTACAAAACAGATTTAAATAAAATGTAGATGCACCAAAAAATGTGGAGAAAATACAAAAGAATTGACATTTTGAGGACTAGTTTGTGAAGGACATGTATTGTCCACAAACCCCTAAGAAAATGTCGCCACATTTAAATAAGTATACTGTAAAAGAGCAGTTGAAGGATCTGTTGTAGTTAGTTTGTCTAAGCCTAGGGCTACCTTCATGACACTTTCAGCCCTTGAAAAACAACAAAAGATAACTGCTATCCATCAAACACATTTTTTCAGGTGTTGAAATTTGTCTTAGGCAAAGTTAGGACGTAAAATGAAAACTTGTTTAAGACGACAGATTGCTGATTTTCTGTGTTTATTCATCAAAACACGTGGCCTGTCCCTCCAGGCACAGGTGGCGCTACACTGTAAACAAGGTCTAAATGCTTTGCTTGTTTGTCAATTTGTAACTTGCCAAATCATTATGTCTGATTGGGAGACTCTGGTGGTAAAGTGTAGATTAGAAAATTGAACTCTGCACCCCCTCTTCTTCTTTGCATTTAACAGCCGACAGTTGGCTCGCTGCCATCTGTCTTCTATTTCTTTGGTATTGTGTATCCAGAGAAGAGGATCAAATTCACGCTGACTTTCTATCTCTTATCTTTCCTTTACAGGTTTAAAGAGAGAGGATTAACAAGGTCTCTGGTGATGATCAGTGCCATCGAGAGGATGAACCAGTCACCTCAGCTCCGCGATGTCAATGTCACTCTGGGTTACAGGATCTTTGACTCTTGCTCTGACGCCAGCACAGCTCTGAGGGCCACGCACTCGTTCCTGCACAGTACTAGTCACCCCACTGTGGCTGTAATTGGCGGCTCTATGTCAGAAATATCCATCGCCGTCGCCCAGCAACTGACACTCAAGATGATTCCACAGGTAAGTTTGCAGACAGAAGAGAAAAAGCTGCAAATGTCCCATGAGAGCGTTGTTAGCTTGACTCTCAGCTGCAGGCAAACGCAGGTGATAAAAATCAGCAAACGCCTGTGTTGACCGTCGGGTGTCGGCTGATGTATAATAAACATAGGCCGAGTCAAAATCCAAACATCAAGGAAGCTCAGAAGCTTCGATTTCAGTGTGTTCCTAATCGTTAAGTCAAAATGATAAACCAGTGTTCAGTGTTCTGTAGGTTGTACAGATGAGTGTGTGTGTAGAACAACAAACTCACTAACAACCACAGGTATTTGGCTGGCAAGATCATATCAAATCAAATGAGTACTAGAGTGGGCCCGCCAGCATACAGCCACTATATACTGGAGGGATTTGTAGTATTATGGGATGTATGTACGATATTATAGCACATATATCTTTGGTTGTTTTTTTGTAGGCCTGTAAAAAAAAAAACTTAATAAGGAACTTAAAAATGCTACAGAGAGAAAGACACATAATAAGAAACAAATACCACTGATGTGTGTCTTATTTCAAATTTAATTCTCATGTGTTTATAATATTTAGCTTTGGTTGTTCCAGATTCAATGTTTATGCAAAACTAAAGTTGGTTTCCATATGGAAAAAATCTACATTTCAGATCTGTAGAGAAGGGCTTTGCCCCAGTTTTTAATTTTGGTCCACTTGAGTTTGACACCCCTGAGCTAAAACATTATTATTATTATTATTTATTCACTTTTTATTATTGACAGCAGTTTTAACTTCATCTGTCTTTTCTTTTCTCCAGATCAGTTACTCATCAACTGCTGTCATCCTAAGTGATAAAAGCCGCTACCCTGCCTTCCTGAGAACGATCCCTAACGACAAACATCAAACTGCTGCCATGGCCAGTCTGTGCAGCATCAACAGTTGGCACTGGGTGGGAATAGTCATCACTGACGGAGACTACGGCCGATCAGCTCTGGACCAGTTTGTGACCCAGGCCAATGACAGGCGCATTTGTGTCGCCTTCAAATTGGTTATGCCTCAGTCTGTCACCAGAGCCGAGATTTACTCTGAAATCCAACACTGTGCTTCCACTATCCTCGAGAATCCAAAGGTGCTGGTCATTGTGTCCTTTTGCAAGTCAGCTCAGATGAGGTATATCTTTGAGGAGATGAAGACTCAGGTCATGGAAGCTGGAAAAAGCACTGAGTCAATGAGAAGAATTTGGTTGGCCAGTGACAGCTGGGCCACCTCCTCCTATGTGATGAATGATTTAAATCTGATTGACATCGGACACGTTGTGGGCTTCACCTACAAAAGTGGAGACACGTCGACAATCAGGGAGTACATGGACAAGCTGGAGAAATCTGGACCTGACTATGCAAAGAACAACCCCTTCCTGCAGGAGCTCTTCCGCCTGTATGCTGCCCAGGGAAAAGAAGAGTCTGACGCAGTGAAAACCCTCCAACAGCACATTCATGGAGACATTGTCTTCAGTATTGAGATGGCAGTTAGTGCAATCGCTAAGGCTATTGCTTCCATCTGTAAGAACAGAGACTGCAAAAAGCCAGGCACACTCCAACCTTGGGAGGTAATTATGTGAACAAATGTGTGCATGTTCAACTTCACATCAGAGCACAGCTGTATTCTCATTGGCTGAGGCTCGGGTTAAAAGGCTAGCTCCGTGAGTCTCACTCTCCACCTATTGTTGATTGAAGACCTAAAGCAGTTTCTTTGTCACTGATATAAATCAGTAAATTAAATACAAAGCCATCAAAGACCTTCACGACAGCGTAGTTGGCCTGTACCAATCAGAGGATCAGGATGATTCCATCCAAATTGTCACATCTTGTATAATGGATCTTAAGGTTTATGGAAGCTTTCTTCCTTTTGAGGATGGAATTCAGATGTGCTGATGGCTGCACTGTTTGCTTGGATAACAGGTCAATGTCACATTAACTGTGATATCTGATTACATTGTGTTTTTTTACAACCGTAGTTGCCCGCTGCGTGTGAGATTACGGGCGCAGTCCGTGTTTTGATGTCAGGCTACAGACAATGTCAACAGTGAATTTCCACGGAAATAGAACCGCTGTGCAAATTCACTGTTGACACTGTTTCCACTCAATTGAAGACACCGGTGCATGGAAGAAAAACACAGTTCAGACACTTTAAAGTGACTACATCAACGACATTTCAGAGTGTATCATTGTTCTTTGTTTCACTGCTTTTCATTACTTCATGTGTGTAGAAGTCTTTAGGAACTTTTCTTATTCTTCTACACTAAGGTACTTTTTACTTTTTATTGCATCGGCAAAAATCATAAAATTGATTTTCTTTGTGGGGTTAACAATCAATTTGGGACACAAAATCTGTCTCTGCCTTCTCAGTGTGGATGGCAACCAACCAAAAGGCCTTTAAAGGCTACAGGGCAAATAAGAGTTCACAGCGGGAGCTACTGAAGTGTAATATAAGTGTAATACTGTAGTGCAATTGATGATGTGCTATAAATGTTATGTATTCAGAGCAGATATAAAAATCAGCCATTTTAGCCCACAGCCTTGAGAAGCCAAGGACAAAAAATGAACAAAATCTCCTTCTACTGCAGGTTTTTTATTGGTAAAAGTCTTCATTCATTTGCAGTTTAATGTTGGGTGAACTGACAATGATGTCGTGATGGTGGATTTAGTGAGCTTGGAGCTACTGGATATTATTGTGACTTTTGTTACCACTGTGGGACCATGGTGTGGTAAATCTGCTGAATGATGTAAAAACTGCTGTTTTACAGATTGATGAATAACAACATGGTAAAAACCCTGCAGGTGCTGAAAGCTCTGTGGATGGAGAAGTTCACGCTCAAGGGGAAAACGTACAAGTTTGACAGCAGCGGCGACATCAACTTGGGCTATGATGTGATGAAGTGGAGGTTCAATGGAAAGAAAACCTACGCGCATGACATCGTGGCCGAGTATCACCCCCTCACCTCCAACTTCACCTACTTCTCCAACAACCTCACCCAAGAGTTCTTAGGACTGGAGGTGAGTATTCACATGCATTTGTCAATGTAGACAATGACTTTATTGATGATTCAAATTCATTACCACTCGTAGAGAACAGCATTCAGTGCAGTGAGTCTTTAATGATCTGGGCTTGAACTTCCACAGAATGTCATTTCAAAGTGTTCCAACAGCTGTGTTCCTGGGGAGTTCAAGAAAACAGCGGAGGGTCAACACACCTGCTGTTATGAGTGTATCAACTGTACTGAGAACTACTATTCCAACGCCACAGGTAATAACTGCATACACCCAACGTATAGATCAAACAAGACAGGGGAAGGAGGGTGGAAACACTGCCAAAGGAGGACAGACACAGTAGGTGTTTGGTGTTTAGTGGAAGGTTGATGAGTTTAGGTGGAAGCAGACGTTACGCTTTGGTGACTTCTGGACAGACAGGATGAGAAGAAGAAGAGTGTTTCACTGCGGTGATTGTTCTATTTGTAAATATTCCAAATGCATTTGTGAGTTTTCAAAATACATTTGTGAATCCTTGTTTGTGTATGTATTCTTTTTGAGACTGTTCTAGCTCCATAGAAGTAGAAGGGGGTGCACAGCCAAAAATGTTTGTAAACCACTGATCTATACCATTGACCTTCATGAATGGACTTAGCCATTGGTGCCAAGTCTATCAGTGTCCGTAGAGAACACACGATGAGGACATTCATTAAACTGTTAGCTTTTGATTTCAACTTTGACAAAGAAAAAGTTTTTTAACTTGTCTTTATTGTGTGGAAAAATCCCACTCCAAACTGTCATCACATTTTTAGTTTCTCACACCCCCAAGTTTGAGTCTGTGGTGAAGCCAGATAAAATCCGAACCCTGTTAGCATACAAGTACCTGCATCTGCGTCTTCATCCCCACAGACATGGACCAGTGCCTGAGCTGTGACACAAGTAAAGAGTGGTCAGCAGAGGGCAGCTCCAGCTGTACGCCCAAACAACACCTCTACTTCTCCTGGCAGGACGGCTTTGCCATTGTGCTCGTGAGCTTTGCCGCCATGGGCATCCTCCTGACCCTTATGGTGTCAGCCCTGTTCTTGCACCAGCGTAACACTCCTGTAGTGAAGGCTGCCGGAGGGCCCCTGAGCCAGGTCATCCTGTTCTCCCTGCTCATTAGTAATGTCAGTGCCATATTGTTCGTGGGCAGACCCAACAGTTTACAGTGCAAAGCCCGTCAGGTGCTGTTTGGGATGAGCTTCACTCTGTGCTTCTCCTGCATCCTGGTCAAGTCCCTGCAGATCCTGCTGGCCTTCCAGTTTAACCCTGCGCTGCAGCATGTTCTGCGGAAGCTCTTCCAGCCTTATGTCATTGTCAGCCTGTGCGTGGCAGGACAGGCAATTATCTGCATTTGCTGGCTGGTCCTAAAAAGCCCTTTCAATCAAATTATCTCGCAGCCGTCAACTCTGCTGGAGGACTGCAACGAGGGTTCGTACCTGTGCTTTGGGGTGATGTTGGGCTACATCGCTCTGCTCGCCTCCGTGTGTTTTATCTGTGCCTACAAAGGACGTAAGCTTCCGCAGTACTACAACGAGGCCAAGTTCATCACCTTCAGCATGCTTCTCTACCTCATCTCCTGGATGCTCTTCGTCCCCGTCTACGTCACCACCACGGGAGTGTACCTGTCAGCCGTGGAGATGGTGGTTATTCTCATCTCCAACTACGGCATTCTCTGCTGTCACTTCTTCACCAAGTGCTACGTTATCCTTTTTAAGAAGGAGCAAAACACCCAAACTGCTTTCCGGCAGAATCTGTACGAGTACTCCAGCAAATCATCCATGTCTATGCCTGGGTCTGAGAATCAGGTGCCAGAGGAAAAGAACGGTAACATCCACTTCATCAGTGCTTCATCGCTCAATGTGCCCGTGCCCTGTCCTGAAGGAGCCATGGGCGTCACAAGGTCCAGCTACGAGACCAGGTTCCCTCATTTGCACAGAGGCGTGGTCAGACGAAACATTGTCCACAGGAACAGCATTTAAAAAGTCCTTACTGGAAAAGACCTCAGGGATGTGTCTGTCCAGGGACTGGGATTATTATCCAGCTCTGGGATCCAAGTGTTCATTTGTAAAGTCCTCTGTCTCATCAGTAGACTTCATGTATAAGGCACTGACAAAAATACTACAATCTCACTACATTGTACTCTGTCTTTGGAATTTAAATGGAATAATGTGGATCACAGCAGGTAAGTGGTCCAAGCCCCCTCTATTACCCCGTCACACCGAGCTGCTCTGCTCTAAGTGTTTCGGGGTTTGTTCAGGAGGTGTGAGTCCTTTGAGTTAACTGTGATAAATCCCTATTTAGATTTTGATAAATCACTATCATTTAGCTGTGACAACCTTTGACATTTACACTTAAGCTAAAAGTCATAAAATGTTTTTTTTGGCAACTACCGTATTTTCTGGACTATAAGTCGCACCAGAGTCTCTATAGTAATATGGTCCGGAAAATACGGTTCTTGTTTTATCTCGCAGGGATACAGTTCGAATTGTGAGTAAAAAATCGAAAGTATTGTTCGTATCTCCGGTGTAAGTGAAGTGAATTGTAAATAGTCGAAGCTCCTCTCGTGTTGTTGAAAGATCAGATTTATTTGTTGTGAAACTGTATTAACTAACTTTCTCTCAGGTTCATTAAGCAACTAGAATTGATTGTACAACGGTGTGAACTTCTACACGCACAAAAGCTGTGACATTGTTTATTAAATATTTATGTTGATTTTATTACGCACAAACTCTGCACTATAGAAAATGTTGATGAAAAATGTGTCCTTCTTTTGGGGCAACACAGACGCAGGTCTTCAGGGCCGCCGACTAGTTCAAGAGCCAGTGGGGATTCATTGCCTTTTGTCCCTCCGTGAATATGTTTGTGTGTGTATGAGTATGAGTGAATGTTTTTTGTGCATATATGTCGTCCCTATGAGTGATGTGATCTACCACTGAAAAACGTTGTGCTGTTCAAGATGAATGAATGAATGGAAGAATAAACTACCAAATCCAGGTCTCTTTCTGTGGTCACTCAACACCCACACGTTAGGTTTTACAGAGGAGGAAATTGGAAAGTTCAAATGTTGTAGGGAGAAAATTCCGGTGCTTAAAGGCTAAGAGCAGAACCTGCTGCTGAATATGCCTGTCTGTCTTTCCATGTTATGGTTAATGATTATTTCACAGCGAAGAATTAGTGAATGACATGTTGCTCCACTTCATTTGCTTTCTGTGATGTCGCTGCTGCCTGAGGACGATCAGGAACAAGGAAGAATGGACAGGAATCTCCCAGTCTAGACGGGTGAGGCACAGCGAGTGTCAGCCTGTCCTTAGTGATCGGAATAACGCAACACCAGATTGTTCCTAACAGCAATGGTGTCATTGTGTGAACGGATGACTGATAACGAGCTATTCCAAGGTGTGCCATTGTACATCTGTGTGTTTGTGTGTGAAGGGACTAAAGTGTTAATAAGACAGGAACAACTCGTCCACTTAACATTTCACAGATGCCAGTTGAAGTTTATGTTTGAATGTGCTGTTGTTGGAGGAGGAATGTTAATCAATGACACCGTTTATTCGTGCAGTCTTCTTCTCTGTTGGGCACGTGCATTATTTATTCATCTTTTACTGCTTCCTCTTTTTAAAGAACAGTTCAACAGTCGGCGTAGAGACACATGGTCATCCATTCACTATATAATCAGTTTGGACCGACTAACTGTTTATTCTAAAAATGCCTTCGTTTGTATTTAGCTCCACAGTATGTATTGCTCATAGGCTGTTCATGAGTTTGGAATAGCTACAGTAGTGTTAATCTGCTTATGAACTGGCATACATCAAAAATGCCATTTAGTTAATACTGCAGGAGAACTATAAGAGGACTAAAATTAAAGTCTGGTTCAACATGATGTCAGTATTGTTAGTTATGATCTAGAAACAAATTCAAGATAAATCCCAATGTGATCAAACCTGGTTTCTGGGAACCTCATCAGTGAATCAGTCAGGTGTTAGTTTAACAGCACAGGTTTATAGTTAAGCTGATTATTTAAAAAATGTTTTATTTTAAAAAATGATGACATTTATAGATGTTTTATTAATGTATCAATTGTGTTAAATAAAATATATTTTAAAAGGTTTTATTCATATTTAAATGTAGTTTGTAATTGTTTAATAGTTTACCTGTTTCTTGAAACTGTGACATCTGTCTGTCTGCTTCCCTCCTGTCTGGAGTTAATCAGTGTCATCACCCTCACCTGTGTCTGTCATCAGTCTCACTGGTGTCACCTGGTGCCCTGGGTATATGTACCTCTCTCTCACACAGTCTTTGTTTGGTCATTGTTCATGTTCTTTGTGGTTGTGCTGTTGCATGTGCTGTGGTTTACCTCCTCTTGTATTCCTTGTTCCTCTGGTGTCACCTCTTTATTTATGCCTGCTTTATTTATGCCTGTTGTTCCTGCTGGGTTCTATTTCCAGTGTGTTTTTGGTATTTGGATTTTAAAAACAAACTTCCTGCAGCTTAAGAGAGTCTGCCTTGTGCTGCGTTTAGGTCTTTCCTGCTTCCTCACACTGATGGCAAAATGGAAACAGAATCACTTTTGTCTGGACTGTCAACAACCAGTGTGGCTGTGGTTTGAACAAGCCTTTGAAATGACACTATACCCCAATGAGCTTTTAAAACAAATATGTTTAATTCAAACTCATATTTTAAACCTGGTATGTCCATTGAGATGACGGAGTGTTTTGAATTTGGGATTTACAAATGTTGATTTGAAATTGAGAGGAAATCATGGAGAAACAAAACGTTAAAGTTAAAAGGCTGGTGTCCTCAAGTACTCCTTATTTCTAGGGTGGCAGTAGTTCAGCTGGCATCAACAAAGGCAAAGAACAATAATCTCCATTATCAGCAGTGGACAGGTGTAAAACTGCTGTCCTCACTTATCTGAGAAACAAACAAACGAGGAGTAGAGAGAAGAAGAAAAAAATTCTGGTGGAGAGCCAGTGATCTATATCTGTTGATTCACAGAAATGTAAAATATGAGAGACTTAATTTGACGCTCGCTTGTTTGTATCTGACACAATGTCTCCAATTACTACACACTGCTCCAGCTCAGCCAACTACAGCAAACTAAGAAAGATGGAACATTTGGAGAAGTGTATATTACAGATACATCCTGGAGCCTAGAAACCACTGACATGGGCCTGAGGTAACTGTGGCAGAACAGGTTCCTCCAGGTGGAAAATATGAGTTAGCTTGAAAATCTGAGAAGGACTTTAAATGAAAGCATGTTGTGAACTTTAAAGAGGCATTTTATGCTTTTGTTCTTTCTTTTTTTTTAAATTACTATGAGATACAACTGACACATGAAACTTCCTGAGGCCAGGCCAAATACTGCATCTGTCTGAGGCATGGACACTTACTCTCACCAAAAACACAAGCTTGCTGTTAAGCAAGGAGAAACTGCGTTTTACGAAAAAGAGGTGGCCACGCAGCCTCCCCTCCAGATGGTGCTATAAACACACTTGGAGTCTATGGCATGTGGTACAAACATTAATTATATATGTGGATTTTCTTTTTTAATTGGCTGATGCAATACACAGAACCAGCATGTCCCAAAGTCATGTAGCCAATGGATTTATTGAGTATGACATTTGTTTTCCTTTTGTCCCTGTTTTCACTTGTGGTCTTGCTTTAAAGTTTACACCAAACCCAGAGAAGGTGGTAAAAACCAGCTGCAGTTACACAGCTTTCTACCATCATCAATATCACACAGCAACAACGTTGCTGTCGCTCTTTACCAGTCAATGTGCTTTGGGTTCTTTTCAACAATTCTGTGATCAGAGCATTTGGACAAATGAGACGTCAGTGTTATGAAATGCTTATCCAGGATTTGAGTGATCAGTGGCATCACCAGCTCACATGACTGAACCAAATAGACTGAATCTTTAGCTTTGTTTCCTGGTGAACATTTGTTTTGGAAGCTGTTATTGGTTGACAGATATTGACCAACACTTGACAGAAATCGGCAAACAGTGGTTGCAGCATTTTCACCACTTCAGTCAGACCAGATTGTCTTTACCTGTTTATCAAATAGAAAGACAAAGAAAGCTTGTAACAAAAAACATTTGACCTGGTGAAAAACAATTAAGGAAATTCAGAACAATTACATTATTGCCAAAACATTATGCAAACAGTTTAGGTGACTTGGTAAACAGCCCTGAGGAGCTGAATGTCATCAGGTTTCACCCTGAAAATCCCCAGCTCTGAACTTGTCACTCTGGTTGCCCCACAAGGGTAGACAAGGGGAATTGGGCAACTTGAATTTTTCTTTAGAGTGTCAATGAAATCAATCCTATGTCAATATCCGTGTTCTTTCAGTGGGCGTGTGCTTTCGAGAAAGAGAAAATTGGCTTGGCTCCATTCATTGTAGTAAAAAAACTCCCTTAATGCTTTGGTTGAGAGACAGCAAGAAAAACACAAACCATAAAGAATTCCACAGAAAACTGCCATCATTGCTAGAAGAGAAATAGAACACTTTCTCTGGGAAGAATGCCATATTGTCACCTGATATCTGTGAGCTAACATTCCACGTTCTTGTCATCTATTGTCGTATGGTCTGGGATACAATCGCACAGAATAGCTAGAGAATGTTATCAGAGCGGACATTCACATAAACATGGATTCCATTAAGGGCCTAGATCCGTTTCTTTAATCCATCAGCCCATCTTCGCACCAATGAAGCGAAACCCACACACTGCCCTGTGACATCAGTGTGGGTGTCAGTGAACCCACCCAGATCATCAATAAACACTTGGGTGTGTTCTTTAGGTGACGCCTGCAGAAGTGTTTCTTGTTTAGCTGCAGTCTCAGATGGAAAGATGGTTAGCTCCCTAACTGTTCTGATTACTCCAAATTGACTAAACCCTGTTCAAACCATTTTCAAAATTGTTGTAAGAAATGTCTAAATAGGAGCTTAGAGAGATCTCTAGAGAAATAATGTTGGTGTATTTCCTTTATGCTAGGTTATCAATACTAAAGAACAACAACAAAACTGTAAGAACTTTCCTCTTCAGGTCATAATGTAGAGCAGAGGATGGCTGAGTAGTTAGACTGGGACTAACAACTAGATCACAAAGGGAGTGCTGGTAGATCGTGAGCAATTAAAATAAAACATATACACATATATTGTGCCATACAGCTACTGTACATGCATTTGATCAGTACCTCAACATACTGTGTACATATAAATATGAATGAATATGAATAGTTAATTATCAAAAAAACGTTATTAAATAAAATGAAATAAATAACTGTAACCGAAGTGAAATCTGTAATGGTCGAGGAGAGTCTCAATTCCAGGATGTATTACTGGAAACAGGAAGTAATGCCAATGATGACTAAAATGCAGTAGTTCCTCAACTGCAAGAAAAATAAAGACAAATAAGTATGTAAGGTTTACAGCCAACAGATCAGTTTATTAATCATGTTATTTCTTGTACATTTTGTTAATGTGCAACCCTGCACAGAAAAGCTCAAAAGTTCACTGTGACACTTGTCCTCCAGTCAGTGTTTGAAAGAACAGGCTGTGGCTGCAAACAGAAACACGCTGCTGTACACAGGCTGGAAATCATCATTATTTTTTTTTACCGGGAGCCACGACAAGCCACAAATGAAAAATGCTACAAAAACCTAAAAAAAAGAAAAAGAAAAAAAGATACAATCATACAAACCAGACATATTAGAAAACTATACACAAACCAATGTGCTGGATGTAATTTTCTGCATTACAAATGTTTTTCATCTCACATAAATATAGATACATTTTATGTACTGCTCTGCACAAATTCACATTGCTGCACTCGCGTATGCTTGTTTGCAGAAAGAAAAACGTGTAATCATGGTGTTCTCCTTGTCCAGAACTGGAAAAATAAGAACAAACACTGTGCTTTCATTCCAAACACAAAAGACCATGAGACCATGAAAAAAATCATTATGCATAAAGGCTGAGACAAACTTCAAGATCAAACTCTTCAGGAAAAGCAGTGATTGAAAACCGCATAAAAACAAAGGAAACCAAAAAAATAATTGCATATTATCACGAGTTCCTGCAGCCACTTCTTACATGTGTCTGTGTATATATAATATACAAAACCATCTGATTTGCTCAACTAATTTCATTTCATGCAGGCAGAAAAAATAATTTAACAGTTAACTGAAATAAATGTTTTAATAAACCCTTAGGACTGCACCATGTAACACACACAGCTCCTCTAATGCCGCTGAACTCTCTCTGAAATAAAGACACTTTAAAATGAGCAGCAAAAACACTCATGCACAGCCAAACACTGTTAGTGATTTCAGACTGCAGGGCAGTTACATCATCCTCTAAGCGTTACCATGAGAAGAAGATTCTCTACCGATCACAGTAGGTTAATCCATTTTAAAAATTGTCAATGTTTTAGAGGTTCTTTTAAAGAGTCAGGGAAGGAGAAAGAACCCAGAGAGCAAATGTAGCTGCGTCAGACTTTTAGTATGGCAACACCCAGACGTAATGATTACAGTGATACTGTAGTCACATCAACGACCTCCCTACAGCCTGCTGACAGGTCAGCCGCAAGGTCTGGCAAAAGAGGAAAAAAAAAAAAAAGAAATCCCTCTGATGCGATATGCCGCTCCCCTGCCTCTTCTTTCTAAAAACTAAAGAGGTAGATTTACATTCATAGAGGATATGGATGCTGATTTGGAGCCAGCAAATTCTAAAGTTAACAAAAATGTTAAATTAGTTTAGAATTGACTTAAAAAAACACTGAAAGTCAAAGAAACACCATACTGAAGCAGTAAAGGGAAAAAACATCTTTGATATGATTTGACTTTCCATCACAGAGATGTCTCATCATTGTGGGTTGAAAAACCAGCTGAGCCGAGTTCATTCAGGTATCCCACAATCTCCAACAGTATCAAGGACCCAAACCAGTCGTCATCTTTCAACTCCTGAGTCCGCAGACGTCTGTCCTCTACAGAATATGCGTAGTACTGAAGGCATAGTCAGAGTGGAGGTGTCTGGAGGAGCTGGTCCAGGAGAGTTCACAGGCCTATAGCCCAGAGCCTAGATAGAAGATGCTGTCATTGAAGGTGAGGCAGAGTTAAAGCTGGAAGCCTTCCATAGGCCCTTCCTGTTGCTGGAAGACAAACTGGCCCTGATTCTGGTCCACCTGTGGAGCCAGGCTGGCGTCTTCCTCCTCCACACCAAAGTAACGTTCAATCAGGTCAAAGGCCTTCTGGTAGATTTCCTGGTTCTCGTGGCTCTGCAAGAATTCTATTTTGTCCAGGCCTGAAGAGGAAGATACAAAGATTTTGTTAACTACGGTAATGAAGCTCTGACAGGATATAGCAAAAAAACAAACAAAAAAGAACTTGGTTTCATTTCCTTTGTTTCTCTGAAAAAGTATTTCTGCAACTGTTTTTTATGATTAGTCAACTCAAACCAAATAAGTAACCAAGAATTTAAGAAATGAATTTGTTTATAGATACAAGTTGTATCACAGAAAGACTTTCTCATCACAGGAACTTTTCGTTTGTAAGGATCGCTGAACATCGACTCGATAAATATTCAGATACTACAGAGTGATTATAGAATTCTATGCAGGATACTACAGAGTGATTATAGAATTCTATTTGTCACACTCAAGGTGTTTTTGTGTCTGTCTGTGGGGAGGATCATTCAAATCTTAATGTCACAGCACTCAACCAGCGTCTCCTCATCACTCATGTAATTTCCTACAAACAACACAGAAATGATGAAATCTCCAGCTTTGGGCTTGATCAAAATTAAAAGTTGTGCATTAAAGTGTTTACCATACGCCTCCTCGATTAGAGCACAGTACGGGTTGATGCCTGATCCGTTCTGTTTGGCTTCCTGTTCTCCCAGTCTGAGGATGTTCTCAAGGCCGTTCAGAGACACTTGCACAATCTTTGAGTCCATCACTGTCAGCAAGTCACACATGGGTTTGATAGCATTCTGAGACACCAGATACCTGTCCACACAAGGACATATGTTAGAGAATGAAGGAAAAAATGGGGCGGGTCAAAAATTGATACATATGGCTTTGTTGCAGATCATTGTTAAAAGTCTTATGAGCAGTAAGTACAAATATTATGCAATACCATGCTCTGTTCTGTTTTGTCTGGAGCCATTTTTAGGCCTAACCTTCAGAAAATATTCCAGATTGGACAAAGACAACTTCTTACATGTAAAGAACTTGAGCACATTGTGGTCGACTATTAGAAAGAGTTTCCAGAGGGTAAAATTCTGCTAAACACACCTGATTTGTGCTGGAGTGCCGCCAGAGGTGGCATTAGTGATGGCCCACGCTGCCTCCTTCCTGGTGCGAAACTCTGCCTTCTGAAGGATCTCAATAAGGGCCGGGAAAATGTTTGCATCAATCACATTCTGAAACAAGAGAAGGAAATGATGCAACCTTCACAACTGAAACCCTTCACTCAGGTGAGTCAGCCTTTACCTGAATCTGAGCTCTATTTCCTGCTGTGATATTGGACACAGTCCAGCATGCCTCCTTCTTAATGGACTCCTTGGGGCTGCTGAGGAGGTGAAGTAAACACGGCAGTGCTGAGCAGTTCAAGATTACCTAAAGAAATTATTTTGGTGATCAATTCAGTGTTTGGATGCCAGCAAACAAAGGTGCAGTGAGGAGGTGAATCTCCACCTGAGTCTGGATATCATCTCCAGTTACAATGTTGCCAACTGCACGAAGAGCAGGAGAAACCACCTTATAGTCACTGTGCCTGTGTGTGAGCAGAGAGCAGAGTTAATAATAATTTAAGACCAAGGAAGTGAAGCTGGACGATTTGGGACATTGATCATTGATCAGCAGAGGGACATATTCACTTCCTTACATGAGCAGCTCCACCAGTCTGCGGCACACCCCAGAGTCGATGACTATCTGGATCTTTTCATTGGGGCCGTCAGAAAGGTAGGACAGAGCCCAGCAGGCATCGGCCAGCACGTCAGGATCACTGCTGAACAGAAGCCTGGAGAGCACACTGAGGCAGGGAGACACCTGTGAGCACAATAGAATCATATGCAAGGTTTAATACGACTTGTGCAGTTCAACAAATATATTCATAGCATCACAGAAAACCACTTTAATTTAAATAAATCATGGATTTACAGTTTAACTACAGCAAGTGGACGCACCTTGGCAAAATCGGGCGGTGGGTTCTTTCCTCTGCACAGGTTAGACAGGGCCCATACTGCATTGCGGGTTGTTGGGAGACGATTGGATTTAGCCAGCAGTCTAGACGCAAAAACACAGGATCCAGTCATAAAAATGTAAAAATGCGATGGGTCACATATTTAAAGAAAAAGGAAGGAGACATACTGCTGCAAGGATGGGAGGATGCCACAGTTCAACACGTAGTCTCTGCATTCTGCATTATCACCTGCTATATTCCCCAGTGCCCAGACAGCCTGAAACAGAAGGTAACAATGTCACCAGTGCTCTTTAAACATCAAGTAAAATTTCCATAACATACCATGTTGATAATATAAATGTGGAAGTCTTGTTTTTTTGTTAACAGTAGTTCCTTACCTGGTCCTGAACATCCTCGTGCTCTGAGTTGAGTAGTTCAATGAAAATAGGAACTGCTCCTGTTTCAATCACCACTTTAGTATGAAGGAAGGTACCAGATGCGATGTTGGTCAGGGCCCATGCTGCCTCAAACTTTGGAGGGGAAAAAAAATCACAAACACACACATTACAAACATGGTGGATTAGTTGCCTCAAGTAAGCATTATTATATTTTACAATTTTGACATACACAAAACACAAACTTTGTCTAGAAAATAAGTACTGCATGTACGTTAGAATTAAGTCTTGTATCAGCTTAGCTTAAGTGGAAATCACTGCGAAAAAATAGCAGCACCTCAAGGTTTAAAAATGTGTGCGTGTGAATCTCACCTGCAGAGTGCAGTTTTCACACCTCCGTAGGAATTCAACAAAACGATTTACGACACCTGGAGTGGAAATGACCTCGTCTATTGGTGGATTCGGCTCTGTGCAAAAGAAGACATCAAAACTCAGTTGCTGTTGCAGACAAAATGTTGCTTTAGACTGCTGACTAAACTCTGCATTTATTTCATTAACCATTATTACTTCTACATATTCAAAGGGTTGTTAAATCTTTGACATGTTTCACGAACCTTTGGATAATAATTTCCTGAATTTCTGTGTTGCAATGAGTTGTTGATCTGGGTCTTCAGAGAAGATCATCTGAACCATATCTGGAGTTATTACCCCATCCTGCACACACACAAACAATTTAAAAATAGTTCACATTATATTTGCCCTCATAAGTCGTGTACAGGCAAGATGTTTACAGAAAAGTTGATATCGAACACACTTACTCCTGCAACAGGAACCGTGGAGCTGATGTCTGGATCCTGAATTGGACATTCCAGCATTGATTCATCGTGTGAAGGTACACATACATTTCTTCTCTTGAACAACTGTAAGCAGAGAGTTATCACATGATTCAATTTTTTTCAGTGTATCAATGTGTATATAGTATATAACTTCTTTGCTCTTCTGTGGCATTAAGTGTTTGATGTTGAAATTCAATCTTTAGAGTGTCTGTAAAATCCAAGACAGGTATTATTAAATTTGCACCTTCTAAACAAAGAATTTTTTTATAACAATTAAGTTAGTAACTTTGTTACCTGCTCCTCTCTTTTCTGTTTGCGGAGCTGGATTCCTTCTTCTTCTCTTCTTCTACGCATCTCCTGTGGATTTAATGCTTTGTTCTTGTAGTTTTTCATTCTGTAGTTGTCTTTCCCTGGACTTGCCATTCTGCCTGAAAAGTTTACACACATATATGGTTAGGTTGTACTTGTCATTAAAAATGTGAACATGACATGATTTATTTAATATTTATATTGATATGGTGAACTATCTACATCATATAGGTAAGCAGTATAAGTGTAAGCGTCTCTCTTGTTTTGTTTTTTGTTTTGTTTTTTTTTTAGCATCAGACAAAAATGTAAGCGTGGGCGTGATCTTTTTTCTGATATTGACGGTAATATAGATTTGAAATTAAAAAAACTGTTCAACTCATAGAACAGAATGAGTTAAGTGTTAAACTATTGCATCATAAAATATATCATATTATATGTATTTTATCTATGTCCTGTCATTGTGTAGCTTGATCTAACATAATATGTAGTGTTCTCCAGCTATGTTCCAGTAATCGTGTTGGGCCTTGATTGGGCAATGATTTGGGAATAACGTAGTCTTGACGCTGTGATGAAATAAACATAGCCATCATTATCTATAGACGCAATTGGCACACTATCAATTAACTAAACCATTACTGTTAAGTTAGTTTGTAGTCGACAACGCAGTCGTTGGTGATTTTTGGGTATCAAGTGTCAGCAACGTGCATATTTAGTACATGTACACAAGTAGGTCAGGTCAGCCTAGTGTTATGGAAAGCAAACCGAAGTGAATCAGTAACTTTTACATATATAGATGAAAAATGTGTGGCTTCTCATCTACTTGTCGATTAGTTACTCGGATCATATGCTTGCTTAAAAATATTTTTAAATAATCCTTTATCCGGTAAAGTGCGTACAGTAATCCCCGGTCTGTCTAGGATTTGTTTATGTACGATAATGTTCACTCCAGATGTGGCTATTTATTTAATGTTGTCCTAAAATGGACTTAAACATGTGTAGAATTACTCTTATTTTTAGTGTTACGCTGAAGTTACTCAGCCTTTATCTCCCTGCGCAGAGGGCGGTCAAGTCCAACTCCACACGAAGCTAGATTTATACTCACGACGCACGACAACACGGTGAAGGAAATATCATGAAACCAAAAGGTTGACTATGTATTAGGAACTGGTATCCAGACTGTTTGTTACTTTCGTTTAAGCACTAGATAAAAATTATATTAATGATACGTTCGGTTGCTGCTGAAGTACTAATTTAGCATAGTGGCTAACTAAAATGCTAACGTAGGTGTCAAGGCCGTTAAAACGCTTTTTGTGACAGTGACGAAATGAACACCTCCGGCAGCGTGTGGAGATTGTATTTTCTTCAGCAGCAAGAGAAACACAGTACCTTGAATTGTATATAGTGGTTTTATCTCCACAATCTCTGCTGCTGTCTTCTTTTTCAGAAGCAAAATGGCGTCCGGCTAAAACTCTCCCAGCAACCCCTAGCGTCAACAATATACGTCACTTCCATCAGCTGGGACGAGGATTTCCTCTGCGATATCTATTTATTATCTTTTTTTTAAAAACAACACGATATCTATTTAGTTTCGCGCTCATTCGCTATTTCTACGTTCTGTTCACAATTTAAAAATTGCACTCGTTTGTATTTAATTAATTTACATCAAGCTTTTTATTTTGGAGGGTTTACTTTACGACATTAACTTACGAGAATAAAGTTGTACAGAATAAAAGTCCCAGTCTAGAGAGAGAAAACAAGTAAACGAGAATTGATTCGTATACATGTACGACTAATCTCGTAAATGTCTTTTTCATTCTTAATGTGGCCAGAATATGCCGTCGCATTATTGTCTTCACCTTTGTTTTATACTGAAAGTGTGATACCTACCGGAAGTATGAAATTTGAAAAAGGAAACGTGGATGTTGTTGTGGCGCTCTAATTGTGAATAAAGCAAAACCACACTGTTCAGGTTGAGAAGCTATTAAAAGGTACGTTTGCATCGTGTGTCCTGTTAGAGCTGAGTTCTTGACCGTGAGTACTTTAAACTGCTGACTGACAGCAGCATGAAGCCCGTTCATGCTTTCACAGCTGTCTGTGTAAAATTACTTAAAATATTGTTGTCGCATTTCCGCACAATTTACGCTAATTGAAGATTCTGTTATTGTACTTGTGAGGGATAAAGTTAGCCGGTGATACGTGCAGATAAAAGGTGCAATTAAAGTCAAGTGGCATTTTTAGAGATACAGGTTGGGAGTTTGAATTGTTTAGGACGCGGGCTTTTAGGTTAAAGAAGATACGTTGGCTAAAGTATATTGGTAATTCAACAGGTAGAAAGATAAGAGAAACCCCCTCCCCCCAAGAAAATACATTCACGTCGTGAAGGTGGACATGTACATGAAAAGAAAATGACCAGACAGAAGCAAATTAAGAAAGGCGTAGATAATTAGTTTACGTATAAAAAGCAACCAAATTAGACCAATTTAACTATTTTTAATTGAGACTGATTTCATACTTATATGGTGGTTCACAGAACCTCCAGTAGGTGTCACTACAGATGAGGAAAATAATTCATGAGCTCAATTTGTTCATCCTGACACATGAAGCTGATGTCAAGTCACTCGTTTTAACTAAACCATATTACAAGCTCAGGTCCATTACTTATCTATGCTTGAACTGGCACATTAGTCAACAGTAAATAGGTTATAACCTTTTTCTTTTTTTCAAGATCAAACCTTGACTACACTACACTTAAGTTTCCTGCATACAACTGACAACAAAGATATTAGGTCTTAAACTTGGTATCTTTTTGTTTTATGTAATATATTTTCTCAAGGCAACATAGATATTGTTATATTTCCAAGTATAGCCAGTATGTTCAGAAATGTAGAATAATGTGTTGTGTAAAAACACTGCAAATATTTTTATATTTCAAAGCTTAACTGTGAATTTCTGTCACTGTAAGGAAGAATTCACGCATCCTTTAAAGATGTTGATCTTCACAGACGTGTGACACAGGGAGGTTTGACAGTGGTTTGTCTGTCTTCTCAGGCTACAGCCATGCTTACCTGTGATATCTGTGGTGAGGAGATTTTGTTCGAAGAGGACATGAAGACACATATCCTCCTCAGCCATGTGGAAAATGACATGCACTGCCCACTCTGCTCGTTGTCAGGAGTGTCATATGATGAACTCTGTTTCCACATCAGCTCTGCACATCCAGAGGAGCAGCAAATATCACAGACTGTCACTCACCTCACATCCACGAGCACAGGAACGTCAGCATCAATGCTACCCGAACAAAGCAGTTCACCTGGGAGTGGGTGCGTGCCTCCTGTAAAAACCTCTGCAATTTCAACAAAGAAAACCAGACAGACATCGGCCAGTCACTGTAATAACGACATTAATGAACCTAAACCTGAGCACAAAAAAGCCAAACAACAGACACAACTGTCTACAAAAAGTAAATGTGATTCAATGATTTTCACACTTCTTAAACATAAACATATTAAAAGTGGCACTGATTTGAATTGTGCTGTTTGTTACAGATGAGCTCTTCACCTGCCCTTTGTGTGGCCTGGTCTGCAGCAGCAGTTTCCTTCTGCAGGAGCATGTTGAGTTGCACCTGGAGGAGAAGAATGCAGCTACAGGTAACAACTCTAAGAGTTTCATCTTTGTTGCTAGGGACAATTGTTTAGAAAGTAAGTACTTGAGTTGTGTTTACAAGTCTGGAGGGTTGTTTTTTTTATTACCAGTAACTTAAACTTAAACTTAAACTTAAGTAACACATTATACATCTGTAAGGAGAACATTTGGATATTGAACTTGGAAATTAAATTGATTTTCTGTTTTCACTGCTACCTCCTGGGCTCCACAGAATCATCCACTTCTAGCTCAACTTATCTTCTGCTGCTGCTGCTGTATTATTGCTTATGTCAAATGATTTGAGAACCTAAATTATCTACGTAAGTTATGGATAAAATATGTGCATGTGTTGCAAACATTTGATGCATATAAAAGTGGAAATACCCGTCACTGAAGCATTGGTTGGTTGTTCCAGATGTAACTATGTAAATAAAATTCTCTGGGTAAATTTGAATAGTTCCTAGTTTCTTTACATCAATGAACAATTTCTTAAGGAATTTGTCATCTAGATGACTATTTTCATTGAGGTTTTAAATAGAACATTTTGTAAGAACTTTATGTTGTAAATTTAAAATTCTTAAACCTGGTAGTATGCTTGAGAGTGGCTCCAGTCATAATTTTCATCATGAATCAGGTCGCAATAGCCTTTTCTTTGTCTTTAATTAAAATGTATAATTGATGTTCAAAAGTCTTCTTTTGTTTTGTTTTTATATTTTTACAACTCACTCAACTTAATGTTATTGATATTTACAGAGAGGCAATTGTTTTGCAGTGAACACTGTTAAAGAGAGACCTCACCATTACCAGCTGATCACACATCTGACTGCATTACGCATATGTGGTGATGTCTATTGACATGAGCAAACCAACCCTTCTGCTGAGGAGACAGCTGACGCTGCTAAAAACAGTGTCTTCATACAGTATGTCTAGAGATATCGTCAAGAAACTGAAAAGCTAATTGCCGCAGTAAATCACTGTTGCCGAGAGACAGGAACACATGTGTTCCTTTGTCTAGCTAATGTAGTATAGATCTGTGTGGTTGGGTCATGTGGTGGCCCATGAAATAATTTTCTCTGTGTCCTCTGTGCTTTGTAGGACAGTCGAGACTTGAATGTCCCGTGTGTTCCGTTGTCTGCAGTGACGATGACTTGCTGCAGAAACACGTGGAGCTGCATTTAGACCATGCAGCAGGTAAGTACATTACAATTGTATTTAGTATGGTCCATAAACAAGTTAAAGTATCTGGGTCTAAAACTATTACAGACCTGGTTTTTCCCCTATTGTACCTCAGGGAGTCCTGTTTCTGACCTGGAGCTGGCCAGGCAGCTGCAGCAGCAAGAGGAGGAGCAGAGGAGGAAGCAGGAGGAGGCCCAGGAGGAAAGAGAGTTCAAGAAGCTGCAGGTGTGGATTAAACACTGTTGCACACTCTTTGCCCTTGAATGGATGGACAGACATTTTGTCAATGGAAAAAACAAGCATTTATTGATAAGGCATTTGTTCTATATCTGAAACTGAAACATATATTTCTCCTAGTTTCTACTACCAGAGTTCAATTTTATTTATTAAAATTTCAGTGAACACGGTAAACTATACTAGAGAAATAAATGAGTGAAATAAACCTGCCCAAAATGAGATTTCCCTGTTGACAGACCAGCAACCACCACATTTTTTCTAGCACTGCACACAGTAATGACCAGGCCTGAACACTTTGTCAATGATGTGATGACTTCCCAAGCTCTTGCTTACTGCCTTAGGATACAACTCTGAACACTATAAAGTTCAGGAAAGGTTGCTATTCCTGTGATATAATTAAATAATTTCAAAAAAGTAATATGCAATTATTAACGAGTAAATGTTGTGAGGAAAGCCATTCGCTGTAACACTGAAGCTATTATATATAAGAGTTCTTAACACCACTCTTCTGGCAGGCTTTGCAAAAATATTTTTCAATCACCAATATGTTTAATCCAAATTTGAAGCGACAAATTGTTAAGAAGGAACAGTCAACCATCAAAGCAGCCAACTCCCTGTGGAGTTCAGAAGATTCCTGTGGTAGTCTGTTTGTCTTGTTTTACCCGTTGAACACACACACACACACACACATACACAACTAATTTGATTCTTTTGGTTTTTTTATGGAAGCAGCGGATGTTGCTGCCAAGGCAGTTTTGTTTTGCTTGTTTTTTCATCTGAGCTCTGAGTGTGTTCCTGATCAGTGACATGAAGTCAGTATGATTACTGGAATATTTTTTAGTGGACTGGAGTCAAACAGAAAAACAGTAACATTTGCGTCATCACAAACCACTGACATTAACTACTGTAATGAATGACAAACTCGCAAACTTTGACACACTCAAATCATAATTTGGTGGGTTTTACTGCATGTTAAAATATTTTGCACCATAAAAGTTAACAATACTAAGTAATGTGCAATAATTACAGTATGTTTCCTCTAATCAATTCAAGTTTAGTTTAATTCTCATAGGTCAATGAAGAAAAGGATTTTAACTCCACGTACGAACGGCATCTCAGTGTCATCAGGATGAATCCTGTACTGACCCCAGAATCCACTAAAGCAAATCCCAGGAACAAGCATGTTGATTGTAATTGTAATTCAGTTAAAGTATCTACATTTATCATACCACAAATTTCTGCCTACACCACCCCCATACAAAAAATTCTAAACACCACAACATTATTTAATACCATGAAAAGGTTTTACCATAGACTTCTGTAGAAAAGAAACTGTGTCTTCCTCTTTGGTGTAGATCCCCACATATTCAAGACTCATACCCAAGGTTCAAGCAGATGTGTATCTTCACAGTGACCTTTAACACTGTTTAGCTCATTTATGGCACATGTTTAAATGGGACAAAAAAATCAGATTTTGATCTCTTAATAAACAAAAGCATTTGTTTCGCATGTGTTTTGTCTCCAGGTTGTTTGATACTGACGGCTCAGTAGCCAGTGACATAACTAGTTACCCAACCACTGGTATCAATGACTTTTTGATTCAGATATCTGTAATATAGAGAGTAAAATGATCTGGATAAAGTAAGGCAGACACATGCTGAGATTCAATACACAGTACCACACCCTAAGTGACTGGTTCCTCTTTTTTAGGGAACACTTGCACAATATTTCTAAATGTCTACATCTATCAGCTGGTATGTGTATAATTCATTTCTGGGTTAAAAAAATACAAACAAACCATAGTCTCACTGGTTCCATTTTGCACAATTTTAGTAAACAGTTTTTTTAAGCTATGCATATGTATCAGGTAAGTAAAAAGTCATGGTGTGAAAAAGTAACTGTGCTGTTTTGTTTTGTTCTTTCCTGGCATTATTTATCCTGCATTTAAAACACATCCTCAGAGGATTCATGAAAACATATAAAAATTCACTTAACTTTTAAAAACGTATGAAACAATTTAAAGACCATTTCCGTTTGACCTTTGTCTCTGTGTCTCTATTGCAAGGCTTTGAAGTTTGACTTTTGTGATGCAACAAAGACAAAACTAGCTGCTAATAACAGAGAATGTATGTTTGCGTCTTTTCTGAAAGGTTACATGAAGTAAGGAACAGACGCTAGCTTAATTTGGCCCCACATGAACATAAGCTTATCATTAAATCTGTAACCCTCGAAGACGTTCACCAAGGCATTCATCAAATCATCATGCATGGGCCTTGTCATTACTGGCTGTAGCTCTACTTGTATTTTACATGACTTCATCTTTAGTTTTAACTTGACTCGTGTGCTGTATAAACATGACAGAAGCAGTTTGGTTTGGACGGCAGCGGGGGCTACGGCAGACAGATGGAGAAGACTATGGAGAGAGCTGTAGCCAGGGGCCTCTTGGAACCGGCAGAGTTTCACTGTAAAAGAGCTGAGATGATGGCGTCTCTGGCTTCAGGGGTGGATGATTGCAGAACCAGGACTCAAGGTACGCATGTTTGTGCTGTTATTACACCTGTAACATCCAATAAGACGTACCCAGATCATTACATTCAATCTGTGTCAGACCTTAGTGTTCAGTGTAGTGAGCAGCTGACACAGTATTTAAAGTCTTTGCCTCGGCTATCACCTTTTACTTAACCATGAAAGAGCCTTGACCGTTGACAAATCTCATCTCTGCAGTTAGTTCCGCAGACTTCAAACGTCATCTTGGATAAATGTCCTGTTCATCCACAGATTGTCCATGCTTTTAAAGTTAGTGGTGTCCACACGCCATTGAATTCCTGAAGTTTTCAGGCTCTGTGGAAAAAAAACTTGTAGTTAAGAGATATTGTAGAAGCCCCAGCCCATTAATTTACTTCAAATATCCATGATTGTTTAGTATGACATACATATAATAGTAAGGTATTCACCACTTGTGTTTCCCAAAGGGTAATCAACTGTAGAGTCTGTGATCATTTAAATAGAATTGAAGAAATGGAACAGGTAGATCAAAATGTTAGTTAAGATTCTGCATTGTTAGCTAGTGATGTTGGGGATTATAACACCTTAATAAGTCATGTTTTCTGTAAAGTATTGAAGGTCATACTAAATCTTCATTGTGTATTAATATTGCAATATTCTCTTATCATTTGTAAACATGTTTACAAAAGCTGCATGAAAACAATTCTTCCATTGTCTAGTTTTCTAGGTTAGACATAAACAGTAAGGGTGACCAAAGACTTTAGCACACCACCGGATAAGGTTTTTGCAAGATGTAAACATTATAGAATGAGTTAATTGTTTCAAAGCAAACTGTTTGTGATTCTCGTCGAGAATTCAAGGCTGGAGTTCATTTTATAGTTGTCTATGACTCTAATTTAACTCTAATTTAGAGATATTGTAATATAATAATAAAAAGAATGATAATAATAATAATGGCTTGCAATAAGGGTGTGAAGAGTTGTAAAAAGTTCATGCATAAACACATTTTTTCCGGGAGGATTGTGATTTAAAGGTCTAAGTCAAAAAAAAAACTGTAATTGGGCTAGAAACAGGTTGTACCTCAATTAAACAATATATCAGTTCTCAGGTGCTCATGTTCCTGCCCAGATTTCCTGAATTTGTCAACTCCCTCTTAGAGTCCACAGCTTTATCCCCAACCAGTTCTTCAGCATTCCAACGCCTTTTACAAAATGTTCTTTTCATTGATCTCTGTCATTGAAATACATCTCTCTGTATTGTGTGCGTGTGGGGTTGTGTGTGTGTATGTCATTGTACCTGCTCTGTGTTCTGGAACGAACACACAGAGAGAAATGTACAGTGGATGAATGTCTGGTGTTTTTGTTGTAGTGAGATGTAGCAGGTAAAGACAGGTCGACTGTTTGTTTTGTGATTTGAGAAGAGAACGATTCACCAGCCCTGATTTTGATCTTGGTACAAGTTTATGTAACTGGTTTTATTGAGTATCGCGTTGACACAGTGATGTAAAAATATAATTTGTAGGCAGTAATTTCTCAACTGAATTTGAAAGATGGTTCTTGCTCAGTGAACAGTCTCTAATAATTGTAGAACACCATATGTTCTTCATGTCTCATTCATATAATTCTACTTAATTTCTTTTTGGGGGGAGTTTTACTAATTTGAACTTGTAGTTAAGTTGACTTGACTCTGAGGTTTATAATTTATTACTGTTGTTATAGTTACAGGGGGTTAGAATGATGCAGAATTCACAGATTCAAATGTTCACTCAAGCTGATGATACACTCAAGCTATCCTGCAAAATTATTAAAATCATTATTCAAATGTCCGTGTCACTTCGGAGTAGACCTTCAGTTTCCATTTGACCTTGTTTCTGGTTTTATTCCACCTAGTTACCAAACCGTTCCAGGAAATGCATCCGGTGTAAAACTGTAAAATAATAAAGAATTAATGGAATAATTTGGTTGTAAAAGATGATGTATGACGGTCGTTCTTGAGGTCAGCATTAGTTTATCCTTCTACCGCTTAATCCTTTTCAATGATTTGGAAGAGCTGGAGCCAATTACAGAAGTAACATGGTGAGGGCTGGACAGATGAAATTAAAATTATAGTAATGTGCCAAAAAAAATTTGCCTGACGTAAAAAGCTAGGTAGACAAAATTAGGAATAAATCCATCGACAGAGTTTCAGAATTCCCACTCAATCAGTTCCAATGAACAGTTACTGTATGAAAAATAAAGTTGTTCTCTGTGCTTATGAATGTGTTAATATTTTTTTAAGTTGTTCTCTGTGCTTATGAATGTGTGTTAATATTTTAAAAAAAAACTTTCTCCTTATTTTATGTATTTTGAATATATATGATACATAGTCAGTGTCTTGTATTGTGAACAGCATTCTTTGTGGTGTCAATATTTACAGGCAGCAGCAGAGGGCTTATGAAGATTCAGCCAAAGGTTCACCTAATACCTTAAGACTAACATCAGCTTAAGTGTTCTCTACGCTTGAAATGTTTTACCTCCCTGATAGGCTGCGTTTTCTAACTGTATTATGAAATAACACCGTAATCCTCAAAGAGAAAGAGCAATCTGAGCAGAAATCTCAGCTTCACATTAAGCCATGAATGTTTCAGCTAGTATAATTAGTTAGTATAATTACAGTCTAGTCTGTTGCACAAACAGTTTTTTAAAGATAACAGTAAATACAGTATTGAATGACTCTTGGTTTAGGTCATGTATGATGGTGTAAAGTTTACAAAAAAAACTCCATTACGTTAGATAAACCCAAGCTCAATAAAAGGATCAACAATTACAAACATGCTATTATCGTAACGATGCAGCTCGTTGAGAATTATGAGACAACAATTAACACAGGAAGATGGAACACAGTGGATATAATTTCCAGTTGAGGTTGCTGAAGCACAGATGTGTAATTATCATCACAATGTTATCTTGTTGACCAGTTATTTGGTTAAAAAAAAGGTGGGGGATATTTTTTAGTGTCTACGTTGTGTTATTATCATGTTATTGTTCACATATTAATAGTAATATTGCGCAACCTGCAGCCTGCATTGCCTGATAGCTGCTTCAACCAAGTTAAAAAGGATTTAGTCTGTAGACATCAAGCCATTGTGTTTTCAAGCATGCTCCCCACTAAAGCAAAATAATCCACTAATTACAAGCACAGTATCTAATAATTATGATGTAAAGAGAGCTACACTGAGGAAAATGACAAGTAAAATAAACTGCTGTAGACGCACTCATTTACTGCAGTTTAAAACAACAATCCACTTTTAGTAACTCCATAAAGAGATTTATTTTTAAATTAAATTATGTTTGGAACAAGAATTTTACCCCACTTTTACTAAATATCAATGTCTTTGACATATTTAACTGAAAGAGTTGTTAAAAAAATTAAATACATGATAACATTGAAATAACACTGACAATGTCCTTCCTCCTTTTATTATGAAAAAGTACCATCTTATGGATACTAAAAATTGCCCAGTCCTGATATGTTAGAAGAAATTTGAGGTGTTTTTTTTCTTAAGAAATTATATTCATCCAGAAATATAAGCACTCTTCTAAGTTATTCTCAAGGGTCAGAGAAGTCACAAATGCATGGGAAATAAGGTTAAAGCCATGAAGTTTTTTTCTATGCTGATGACAAGCCATTATTGCTAAACACATTACATCAGTCAGAATTGAGTTCAGAGGTTATCTTAGTCAAACTGAAAGAGCAGTTTTATTCCCCAGTAGATAACATTGTTACCGTTGATGGACTGATGTCTGGACTCTTCTGTCTGCATGCTGATCACAGTCGGATGCGATGGTTTCTGGTTGAGCCAAACTGCTGGAATGTACTGAGATGAACTTGTTTAACATGCATTCTCTTGCACTCTTTGTCTAGGTGTGGTCAGAACATTGAATGAATACTACCAAACGGCAGGCAGAGAGTGCGCTCACGTGTGGCTGAGTGCGGACACTGACCACTACTGCTCCTCACAGGGCGATAAAGGCTGGGGTTGTGGATACAGAAACTTCCAGATGCTTCTCTCCTGCCTACACAGCCTGGACAAATATTCTCCTGTTCTACAAGGTGCATAACAACGCTACACTACAGATCCTGAAATCAGATTTATAATCTGACATAAACTAACAGTGTTTAATATAAACCATACTTTAAGCAATTTATGTTGGTTTAAACATCTCAGCCATAAAGTACCTGTAGTGTGAACAGCTCTGGTCTTCATATTCACTTTCAACTGAAACTGCACGTCATCTTTGCTACGTACAACGCATCATCACAAGCAGAACTATTTAATCAAATGCCAGTAGCGTGCTGTCAGCCAATTCCCATAGAACAGTAGAGACATTGCTCACATTTTAAATAGTTACACGGGAGCCACAAACAATGTTCATGCAATATAGGCAATGCATGTCATCTTTGACTTAACTTTTATTTTCACTGAGTTATTAAATATAGTTATTAAAAACTATTAGTTGCACCTGTTGTTTTATTTCATGTGGCAAAAAAAGTCATGTTGAGCTAATCTGTATGTTTGTTAGTCTAAAACTGACATTCATTTAATTTGCAATTGGGCCACATTTGCAAATGCATCATTCACAAATGCCTTTAGGGAAACCTCAGTCATTCTCTTGAACATTTCTGGTCAAAGGTCACCATGACCACAGAGACGGGTTTCTAACCATGATGCTGACTCTGAGCAGCAGTACGTGGAGTTGTATCTTTTGCAGAGCAGTCTGTTCTGTCACACACACAATGGCATAATGATCCCCACTATGCTGTTCCCGGAACAGCTGCTGCTGTGGTGCAGGTTGTTTTAAATGCTCTTTTCTTTTTGTGTCAGTGACAAAGATGTACGATTTTGATTCATACTGGTGGATCCAGGCTTTCAATCCACCAGGAAGCTCTTGCATAGATTTTTGACAGCAAGTCTTGTCAAAGTTAAGTGGAAGAGCTTCTTCTTACTCTTGATCCGTCACGCCATGATGGATAGAATGACTGTCCTAGCATTTGTCAGTCACCTCCAGCCCCACCTGCACTCTCACCTTACATGACCTCATGGGGTGATTTCTCTCTGTGTCTTTCCAAAGCTTGTTGGGCTTCTTTCTCGTGAAATACACAAGAAAGAAGGAGAGGTTGCCAACCCGTCCTGTCCCCATTGTCAGCATCCGGGTTGTCAATCTTCTTGATTGGTACCCAGCTTGTCCTTAGGAGTCAGGAGTGTGTAAGCCAGGCTTTGAGTTTCAAGAAACATTTACAGGATTCGGAATCATTGGTGTTGTGATGTAAAAAATGGTGTCAATTCACAAATCCTTTTTTTCTCATTTTTCTAGATAAGGCAGTACACAGCATCCCTCGCTTGCAAAATTTGATTGAGGAGGCCTGGCAACAAGGTCTGGATCCACAAGGAGCGTCCCACTTTAATCAGCGTCTGCAGGGAACACGGGCCTGGATCGGAGCCACAGAGATCTACTGTCTTCTCACCTCTTTGCAGATCAGGTGAGCTCCTGTACAATACACTCGATGTAGTTATTCTCAGTTCAGTTGTTAACATTTAAAGACTGATTTTAATATGGAATTGTTTATTCTATTCAGGAAACCAATCCTGCCACTTTGAATGTTACTTCTCCAACATGCAGCTGCCTACATTGTTTTGTTTTGCGCAATTTCTGCTCCTTCCAGCCTTTCTGCCTTTTCTGACTCACTCACCGCTTTTCTTTGTCTGTTTTTTCCTTTTATCCTTGGATTGCAGTGGTCTTTTGATTTAGTGTTTAAACATGTTTCACTTTAATCATTAGGCTTAATTCGCCCTGGGACCAGTTAAAAACAAACATGAATATATCATCACGGCTGAGTAAAACTTCCCTCAGTAAAACTAAATATTGACGTTTGTTATTCCACCAAGCACAGAGACACACCACTTATTTTTAAAACTATATTCACCAAGTGAACCAGGGAACAGACACTAATTGCCGTTTTTGTGCCGGCCTTCGACGATGTTATGATCACAGCACTATATTAATGAAGACAAGCGTTTTGCAACAAGCTGTACCAGGGGCCGAAACAGAACTAACGTTAATGCTAATCTGCTGGTTTAAAGCCCATGATTAGAATCCACACATTTGGAACTGACCAACTATTTTAATCTGCGAATGTTACTTAGGATGTCTCAGAATAATGTTAAGTAAAATCAAGAATGAATATTTAGCTCATTAACACTTAAGAATGAATTCAACTGAGAAAGAGTTTTGACTAAATGACTGTATACAGTTTTGATTATTTCAAAACACTGCTTAAACATCTCTGAGGAGATTAAAGATCTGCTGTAACCTGTAGGCAGTTGTTTGTTACTGCGTTTGCCATTTCTACAATCGACTCCACTTAAAGCTGAAAGGAAGATCAGAAATGTTGTGAGCTGTTTCGCCATTCATTCGGTTATATAGTTTGTTAGGTTGTAATTTGATCTGCATTTTTTTGGACAGTTCCTATCCAGCCGAACCTATACTTAATGCAATTATCTTTAAAGCACTTGGTACGACCCCTTTTTAGGGTGAACAAAGTCGTAGTTGTTTCTGCTTGTGTCAGCCCGCTCTCTAGCAACATTTGATTGTATACACACGTTGGCAAAGCAGTGTGATAAAGGGATGATAAAGAGTATATGGCACCAGTTATACGAAAGATATAAAAAGACCTACACAGCAGAGCACCTAGAGCCTCACACTGTCTTCAGATGTGTATTTTTTTGTCTCTAGTGCTCGTATCATTGACTTTCACCAACCGACGGGGCCCAGTAACACTCATCCCCGGCTCTTTGAATGGGTCAAGCATTACTTCTGCCAGACCAGCGACAGCAGCAGATTGCCCCCACGAGTGGTGCAGACCACACTGCCTCCACTTTACCTGCAGCACCAAGGTACACAGCACCTCCACCTTCCACATTCTGCATCACATAAACACGGACATACTTTTTGAAAAAAGGATCATCTAGAGGGTTTACAGGTCAACAGAGTATTGCATAACTCATTTTTTGCCATTTAACCCCAGGCTTGCACAGCAGGACTGTGTTTTCCAATAATTTATTGTGATTACAATATCAATACTGCTGTTGAACTAACACATTACCACATGCAACTGTGTTTGTATAAATAAACACTGAGAAAAGAAGGCCTTAGCCAAAGTAGTCGAAACTGAAGATGCATAAAAATAAAAGGTTTCAGGAACTAATTCATATATCATGAAAATGGCCGACTGAATCTTTGGAAAACAAGCAAGTAAAACCTTTCACAGCTATACTTTATTATGTAATTGTATCGCATTGTATCATAAACTTTTACGCTCCTAAGTCTTGGTTAAGGCTGCTTAACATCGACATTGTCTGACTGCCTATAGCGCCTCCCTCCTTGCGTAATCAAAAAAAGCAACGCCCCTTTCACTCTACTTTCTCACTTCTGGCATATTTTCAAAATCAGTTGTGAAAATGTTTTTAAAAGACACAGCTCAGCATTGTCATGGGCAGCAAATCAGGTTTGTGTTCTGCAGACATACCAACTCCTTTCATCAGAGTTCAGGTTTCCTGATTAGTTGGTCCAAGCTGCGGTAAGAGTTGAATTACCGAGGTACATCGTTAACAATAGCTGCACAGGAGCAGGACTCACTATGACCAGTCCCACGTTTGTTATGAATAGAGTGTTAGAGTGTTCTTTTATTTGGAAGGTAGTGACACAGATCAAAATAAAAGCTTAAAGTGCCCTGATATAGGATCTGACCCAGGCCACCAGTTTGTCTACAAAAAAGTACATTTTCAGATAACGTCAAATCTGAAGGAGTTCAATTGTACTAATATTGCTGCAATTGTACAGCAGCTACTGTCTTTTGAAAAAATCTGGGAGGCGTATTGCTATATAAAAAAAAAAAAGAAATTACGTGTACACTCCCACACAAATGTACTTTTTCCCACTGTTTGGGAGGGGATGGAGGAGGCAGGCAAAGAACAAGGGTCGGTGTCAGCTGCTTGGTTCACTGAACACACCGCCTGTTCATTTTACCAACACAAGTATGTTCTAAAGATCTAAAAGACCAAATGGGTTGTAAAAATGATTTGCATGATCATTAACAGCACGCAAAGATGTGAATATTTATCTGATGATGACATAACTGCAACAGGGACACCACACTGTGTATTTTCTGGTGCTTTGGCAGGTTTTTCGGATCCTTTTACAAGTTGTGTTTTTGAAGTATTGCCTCAACACGTCCAGCACGTCTCTCTCTGCAGGTCACAGCCGCACTGTAGTGGGTCTTGAGCAGAGAAAAAACGGCAGCCTTTGCCTCCTTGTTCTCGACCCTGGGTCAACAGTGTCGGACATGAGGAAGCTAATGAGCAGGGACTCCGTGGCCACAGCCATTCGTCACATCAGGAAGTTCCCCAGCAGCCTGAAGCACAAACAGTACCAGGTGGTGGCAGTACAGGGTGTACTGTCTGCAGAGGAGAAACAGGTGAAATTGTGTGTTTGTGTGAGTGAAAAAGAATGAACAAGATGAAACCATGCTCTGTGGCTTGTGACTCAACCCAGCAAACAGAGCTTGCAGTATACAGTATCAATGCAGAACTGACGAGAAGATCAATGAGTGCTAAATAAAAGTACATGTGTATCAGCACACTCTGTTGTTTGTTTTCACAGATTAGCATCTCAAACTCCGGGACATTATGTGCTGAGAGGATCCCATGAACAGCAGCACACCCTTTTTATCCTTTCTATCGCTGTCTGTCTTTATTGTTGTCATGTCAGGAGCTGTTGAATGTGGATGATTGTGAATAAAGTTTAACATATTTTTAAACCTTTTAAATAAATAGTCATTTAAATCATTTAAATTTTTAACGTTAGGTTTAGTTTTTTTTAATTACTGCTAAGGAATTTCTTAGCTCCAGATTTAATTGGTCTGATGAAGTCTGACTAAAATAGTTGATAATTAACATTAGAAAATATTGTTATTGTGTTGTTATTTCTAAATGATTAAAAATAACATTACATTAGAAATAAATGTACATTAATTAAAATATTTTTATTGAAATGAATTATTTTTTATGTGATTCTTACATTGATCCAACAATCAAAAATTTAAGGTCAGTTTCCCTTCCCTCATATGTCTCTGACTGCCAACTTTCCTCATCCCACCCCAATCAAAGAGCTCTCTGTGTCAGGAATGCTGAAAATGCTGGAAAAGTTATTTGATCTGGGAAATGTTGTGTTTTGTGATGGTGTCTGAAAATGTATAAATGCTTTTATTTTTACTGTAACTGAACAATCGCAGCAGACCTCACCAGTTTGTGAAGAAAACAAAAGGTAAGGTGAATAAAGCGTTGCCTGCAGTTTACAGAGCAATTGTTAAGAGATCTTTATGCCATGTTCTAAATGATGAGATATTGAATAATAATGATTTGAACAGAGTTCTCTGTGGGTTGGTTCTTGGGCTCTACTTTCTTTCTGAGATAAACAGGTGTGACTAGAACTAGGAGACTAACGCAGATGGAAGAGCTGTTCAATCTGCAGCTCTTCGTTGTAACAAATACCCAATATTTGTATAATTTTCTTGTAAATGTATTACTTCCCTCTAGTGGGTACACAACATTTTGGTAGGAGCATTTGTGATGGTGGTCACCAGGAATTGTAAAAGTGCTGTTAGTCTCCAGGTTCTGTAACTTGATGCATACATTATATAACATGTCTGTTCAATGGTGACTGAGTAGTCTAAGCCACCTTAACATGCTTACACAGACGTTAAGGTGGCTTTTGTTCTAGTACAATGTGTGTGCTCAACTGTGATCAGTAATGGTGCTCAAATACTGTGCACTGAACCTTTATCCTGTCAGTTAATCGATAGAAGTGGGCGATTTACATGGGAAATTCTAGAATCTTGACACCCTGAATTCAGACAGCATTGTTTGTTGTGTTCACAAGTTTCTTCAGTTTGCTTGTTATTTTGCAGGAAAATATAAAACTGACTTGCAATGCAAGATGGAAAGTGCAGGTGTGGAGTCACAGAGCATATGTCTTTTGGTTGATCCCTCCATCCGGGCGTCCTACACCAGATAATCTGCAAATTTCGTTTGGCACAGTTTTTGTCCCAGATGTCTTTGTTGCTAAAACCATTCACATGTCCGTGCACATGTGGCCTTCTCCTGGTCTTCAGGTGTCAGGGTTAGGTGTCTTTCTCTGGGACACTGCAGCCTTCAGTTCTGCAAAGCCTTGGTTGGACGTTAGAGGTTATCTCCCCACTAGTGGTAAGTTACATACAGTTCTGAGCTTGATCTTTTTCTGAACTCACGCAAGTCGTGTGTTATATGGCCTCACTTCTTCTTTGCCACAACAATGACATAGAGATGGTGCTGTTTTCTTATAGCTCTTCTCATTTCTGCTTGGGCTTTTCTAGAGAACTCAAGGAACACATCCTTTCATAAACGTAACCTCCAGGTTATGATTATCCTTAAGGGTTTGGCCCACACATTAATTGTATCATGAACTGTTCAGCTGCATCTGTGCCATCAGTGTGTCAAACCTAATGCTAACTGCTAGGCTGAATGTGTTTATTTTTTTTAAAGCATTCATCAGAATTCATTTTTACTAAACCAAAGATGTGAGTTTAAACTGCTCATATTGGTCTGTAATGGACTATAAACCTGTTTGTGTTTGTTCTCTAGTTAACCTGATGGCTTCAGGTTTAACTGACTTTGTGACATTTAAATAGTGCATATTCTACCTTTAATGGAAATGAATTGGAACGATCTGGCTGTCCTTGAAGAAGCCCGTCTAACACCGAATGTGTGTACCTGCACACCCTATCAACCCAAACTGTTTATCTGATAACAAAATGGAATGTTGGCATCTGGCGTTGGAGCCGGAATGAGCGCAAATGGAGCGATGCAGCGATTGGATTTGACCTAAGGTTCAATGGCATCTCATGATTTCCTAGTGTGGTGATGAGTGGCGTTAAACTCTGCTTTCTTTTCTTTAACAACATCATAAAAAAACATTGTTCTGGTAAAAGATTTGGCCTTGGGGAAAATAAGCTTTTTCACGCTTCTAATGTCACAAGGTATGTGTTTGTGCCTAACTGACTATAACTTGGCTGAGCTGAGCACATGGTCTGTTGAGATTGTGCATGCGGTGGCTTGGTGCTTTTCAAGGACACTGTGAATTTGTCAGATGAAGTTGGAAATTGCACAATGACGGTGAGGTTGCTGTTTATCGGATGCCTTCACTTGCAAAAAAAAAAAAAAGACGGAATTGTGTTTCATCAGATGTGTTTAATATGATAATATACAACAATACGGAATTGTGTTTCATCAGATGTGTTTTTCTTCTCGGAACTTTCAGATTCTGCAAACTAAGTTAGCATTTTGTTATCCTTTTTTGAGGGGCAACATCATGGAAGATGAAAAGATGTTGCATGTTGAAGTGTTCAGTTTTGTCCTAACCATCAGAACAATCTGTTTACATGAAGAAGCAGAAAATCATTTGGATAAAAAAAAGGCTGGATTGTTCAAGGTCTGTTGTTCTGGATTTGAAAGCTGTTCTAGGCAAAGACTGCTAGAACACGCTGTTTGTTGTTTTTTTAAAATGCTGTCCCTTTTAAGACTTTAGTTCCTTGTTTTTTGGTTTGTTTCTGCCAGGTGAGCAGGTGTTGATGTTATCACTTTCAAGAGATGACCTCTAAAATCTGAAGTTAAGATGTTCAGGCCTTCAGTTTTTATCTGCAGGGCCTTTTATTGCAAATGTTTTTCTATAAAAGACAACACACCTGACCTGACATTAAAAGTTAGCAGAAGTTAAAATACAAATTAGTTTAAAATATATATTATTATGGGAATTATCTGCCAAACCAGAGCCAAGAAAAGGTGTCAACAAATGTCATAATTCCTTTCTTGGATCACTGAAAATTGAAATTATGCTTGTTATGGGATAATTATTGACAAAAATCTGTCTACAGAATAGTTAACGTTTTTTGTGTAGCTTTGATAATATACAACAAGAAACAAAAACACCACAGCTATGGATGTCCTTCAGTGTGAGTTCAGCCTTAACAACACTGTCCAACAAGCAGCGGGTGAGAGCAGTGTGGGAGGTATGTGGACATACAGTCCACTGCAGAATGATTGACTGCCGCTCCCTCACTCCCAGTGCAGCAGAACACGTGCAGATTTTTTTACTGGAAAATTTGAAAAATGTCTGTGTCCAGATGTCCACATCCTTGCCAGATGAGCCTCTAATGACTTGGGGAAGATGGACAGAACATTCTTCAATTACTTCCTGGACAATTTTGGCGAAATGTAACAGTTTTAAACTGAAACTCAGTTTGCCAATCGTCCTCACTGACCATCAGTTTTCACCAGTACTTTCTAAGTGCCAAGCCTCCTGCAAATCAGTGTTGTAACAGAGTTGGAATTTGACCATGGAAATGTGATATTTTTAATTAAATCCAGTCTGATGTGCCTGTACAGATGTGATGGAAGCAGAGTTTGGGATTTTTGACCTAAAATCACCAACTGTACAGAGAACAGAGTCTTAGAACAACCCATTTCATCTTGTGGCCTTCAGTAAGGCCTTAATTATGTTTGATGAAGGCCAAAAATGTGTGATATTTTTTCGTCTTGATAATGCAGGTGCTAATGGAATCTTCAACCAGATTTAGGTCAATCAGTATCAGTTACAGCCTTAAAATGCTGGGTTGGGGGGGACTTTCCAACACTTTGGTTGATAGTTTTATCTGTCACTTTACTGTTTAACATTTGGCTCTTTTATATATAATGTGTTACCTTTCTTTAGAGACTATATGTACGAAGGATTTGTGTGTCAGTGGCCGGTGAGGTGGGAGTGCTGGCCTGACATCTAATTTAATCTGATTAAATTCATTTAAAGGATTTCCCTCAGATATAATCATGTGATTGGCCAGTCATTGTCAGAAATGCAATTTGGGAATAAAGAACATGACTCATTGGTCAGTCAGTGACTGCTTCCTTTGGTGACATGGCCGGCTAGGCTGCTAATGCTAATTTGACATTTTAATATCTATTAGTTTTCTATTGAACTGTGAAATGTGTGGCAGTTGAAAAACTGTTTATGTAATGCAGTTATTGATCAGTCTTATACAAGGCCCTAAAATCAGATCATTCTGCTAAACCTCCCCCACATTGCTTCTTCTTTGGCTTTGAATGAGAGCTTTGCATTGTTTGAGAGAATAATAGACGTAATCAATTAATCGTGATTAATTACAGCCATGATTAATTACAATCATGATTGATCACGATTAATCCTAACCTGTGATTAATCACCTTCAATGTTTCAATAGTGTGACATCCCTTTTTTAAACACAACAGAACAATGAGACCATAAAGGAAAAACAAATACAAGTTAATTCCAAAGTAGACTGACGTGAATACAAAAAAGTCAATCAATTTCTTATTCCATCTGTTAAATTCTAAGCAATGGTAAGCCTTCTTTTTTGCAATTGAAAGCAGTTACAAAAAATGTTTGGCCTTTGCTATCTTGGTTATCAGAATCTTCCGGTATGGTTGCAGTCAACCATCACTGGCATGTTCCGAGCCACATATTTCCTTTTGATACCTCTGGTTGTGGAATCATTCTTTTGATAGGCGGCTCATACGAGGAACTCCTTAACTCCTTGTTAAGAACTCCTAGTTCTCACCAGTGCCAGTTTAGGACCTCTCACTAACGTTCCCCACCCTTCTCTTTTCAGTTTGTCATAAAGCACTAGTGACACGGTTTATGCTAAGGTTCTAGTTGCTGCGAAGCCCCTAGGCAGCAATTTATCCGCGAGGTCAATT